TACATAGAGGTAGTCTAGGCCCTCCAACACAGCTCAATGATCAATTTCTGCCAGGTGTTCTCTCTAGTAACCAAATTCTCCAGTGTGATTAACGTCCAGTGGCCCTAGACTCACATTGAAGGACTTAGAGATGCCTAGGGAAAATATTTTAATCAAACATGTGAATTATTACATACGCAAAAGTCAAACCCACAGAGGTGGAGGGGCGACTGTATATATCTTCCATTAGTTCCACTTACAGTTAAACTAATCAATACTTCATTGAATTATTTTTCCGTTCTACAGCACACTGTGTCTCTCTAATCTAGTATTTGTATTTATCAGATATTGTAATATGTTTCCTTTATATAGAAATACATTGACCTTTTTTTAAAAATTCTAGGTTGCAGTTGTTAAAATGAAGTGCACGGAACGCATTTACGCAATGAAAATCCTAAACAAATGGGAAATGCTTAAAAGAGCAGAGGTAAGTCCAATGTTTCCAATTCAGAGATTTTTTAAAAAATGGTATTAAAGAAAATCACAGTGAATTTCTGCTAGATTAGAAAGAATTAACTGCATGAGTATATAGGAGCTTCATTTTTCTCCCCCAAAGTGAACTGCTTTAATGCAATCAAGTCTGACAGTGCCTTTGAGGCATCTGTTGTTCTCAGCATTACTCTGTATTCATTTACCAGACAGTCTGCCCTAGTTTTTTTTTACCATGAATTATATTGGCTAGATTTTTGTTTACTATAAAACCAAGTTAAAGGCTACATGGAAGCTTCAGATTTCAGTTGCTGTGACTTACAGAGCCATATGCATAAGACATTATTCCAGACAAATAATAGATATTTATGCATTTGAAAGTTATTTCTTCAAGGAAGATTGTTATTTGATGTGATAGAGTGAGACTGTAGCTCCTTAAATATATTTACTGAGAAGGTGTTTATGCAGGTAAAGGACTGAAGCATTGTTGGTTTGTCCATAGAGGTCATATTTTGTTTAAAAGGCCTTTTGGGGTTTCTTCCAACTCTACAATTCTATGTTTGTAGAGAATTGCACATGAGATCAAAAAGAGCAGTAGTATTCAAATCTAGATTGCAACACATAAAAGACTGGTTGAAAACAGTGATAAGTGTTGAAAGAATTTTGTATGACTATCTCCCACGACATAAATTAAGATTTTAGCACCTACCTCTTTTCAGTTAAAAAGCAGCTCTGGAGGCACAGTTTTGACAGTAAATGCTTCCAGTCCCCCAAAATATCAGTTTCCATCTTCATTGATCTTGCCAGTGGAGGCCACCAAGCATTGTTTTGGGAAGGTAATGGAAATGGGCTTTTGAGTATGATCACCTGTAATCTAGAAGGATGCTAGAAATGATTTTGCATCATACTCTTAGAAAAGTTCAAATGATGTAAAAGTTTACTATATTATTTACAATGTTGTTAGATAATGCTCTTACACATTTGAAGCTTGCATGTAAAGAAATGGGATGCTATACATAAATGTAAAGAGGAAATAGGTTAAAAGTGCCATCCTTGCAAACTTTTTCATGGGTAAATCTGACTGAACTCAGTAGGAATTTCTTTTCAGTAATGTGTAAAAATGTGTTGGTGAGGGAATAATTATGTTAGTAGTGTGTTAAGCCACAAAAGGGGAATTGATGGCCACAAGAGGGGATTTGATGGGATGTTGCTTGCTTGTTTATTTGTGAAAAAGATATGAGACATAGGAAATGATATTGTTCACATTTTAAACCATTACATACAAGCAGATTATTAAAGTTTAAAGGAAAAAAACTAATCCCTAGAATGTACTGTTTCTAGCTGAAAGCATTATTGATTAAATGCTTTTGAAATTATTGTTTAGTTGGAAACTTTGTCTATTGAGAGCTAGTGTGCTGTTGTGGTTTAAGTGTTATGCTAAACCTCCAGGATGCCAAGGTTCGGAATCCCTGCTTGGCTATACAAACCTATTGGGTGATTTCCAGCGAGACACACTAAATCTTTCAGCCTCTGAGGAAGGCAATGGTCCTTCCCTCCTCCAAAACAATTCTTGCCAAGAAAACCTTGTGATAACCTTAGGGTTACCATAAGCCTGAAACAACTTGAAGGCTCGTAATAGCTGCAGTTTAACGTTCAGCCAGTAACTTTTACACTAAGCAAAATGGACAATAGATTATTATTATTATTATTATTATTATTATTATTATTATTATTTACTATATTTAGATTCCCCCCCTCTCACCCTGAAGAGGACTCAGAGTGGCTTACAAATTGACAACAATTATTCTTTGTCTTTGTCAAGTTCGCTTTTTTTCCCTCCTGTAAATGGCAAAATGTTGGTTATCATATCAGTGTCAACTGGCAGATAAAGAAGTCTTGCTCAACTAGACAGAAATATCAAAGGTGAAATCTGGTGAATATCTAAAGAGAAAGTTTGCCTATCTTGAATTTTGCAACCAAGAAGCAATATCTGGCCTCCCTTTCTGAAAACTAGTGTTCTTTATTTAAACTGATGTGACTCTACCTTTTATGCCTGCAGTGTTTTTTTTGTAAGTGATTAATTAAGATGGTAGTAAGTGCTTTTCCTACAATTCTAATTTGCTCCCCTTCCCAAGACTCTCCTACAAAGTAGTCAGAGCCCTTTAAAAGTTTAACATGTTCTGGAAACAGGAGGAGGGGAAGAATTAGGGTCAAAAGATTTGTGCCTCATGATTTGTATCTCTAGCCCTAATTTCCTTTTTTAAAATGTCATCATTTTTACGTGAATTTACACCCAAATGGTTTTTGTTTGTATTTTAAACAAACTTCCTTGCCTTCTAGAGCAGTGGTTCTCAACCTGGGGGTCGGGACCCCTAGAGGGGTCGCGAGAGGGTGTCAGAGGGTTCGCCAAAGACCATCACAGACAGTATTTTCTGTTGGTCATGGGAGTTCTGTGTGGGAAGTTTGGCCTAATTCTATCGTTGGTGGGCTTCAGAATGCTCTTTGGTTGTTGGTGAACTATAAATCCCAGCATCTACAACTCCCAATAACGATTCATAACAGTAGCAAAATTGCAATTATGAAGTAGCAATGAAAATAATTTAATGGCTGGGGGTCACCACAACATGAGGAACTGTATTAAGGGGCTGCAGCATTAGGAATGTTGAGAACCACTGTTCTAGAGGGTGATGAGTGTATATCACGCTGTGGTTTTGTAGTGGTTAATTTTAGCATTCCTGTAGAATCTCTTCCTCCAAAATTTACAGAAACTACTGTCTTATCAACGAGTCCTCCTTTTTCCTGGCTAGCTGAGAACCACCAAGTTACATATCAGAAGGAATAAGGCAGCATCCACAACAAAATATTGCAGAATATTTCCAGCTTTAGATAGGAATACTGTCTTTGCTGGAGGAACCCTGTTACTTGGGCAGGAGAGAAAAGGCACTTTTTTCTAATTGTTTCTTTCTTACTGTATCTTAGTTACATCTGTATCTTACTTTTCCTCTTGTGAGAGAAAGACCACATACAAGATTCTTCCTGCACTTCTTCCTCATAATGATTTTATGAGATAGAACAAGCAGAAAATGACTGCCCTAAGGAGTGAGTTTTATAACTCAGTGGGACATGAACCTGAATCTCACCAATCCATATCTTTTCAGTACTTTTCCTATACCCAAAAATTCAGTTAAAGTTGTTAGTCAGCCCTAAACTTTTGTGCATATTAGCATGTGTATTTATTTTATTGTATTATATACCACCTTTTTTCTAAAAATGGGACTGAAGTTACCTCAGAGTAAGAGAGAGTGATAATGATAAAAACACAATTAAAACACCAAACAATCTGTATGTGTGATGGATGGATGTACGTTCCACCTTTCTTCTAATGAAGGACCAAAACCAGCTTGCAACCTGTTTCTGAAAGATGAAAAGGGCAATCCAAATTTAGTGAGTTTTTTGGACACTATCTAGAATCAGAGACAAGGGCTTCACGCTCAGAATTTCCATAAAGGTTTCTTGTCCCTGGTTTTTAGTTCTTTCTCTTCCAGCTTCAGCCAGACTAGAGCAGTTTCTAGAGCCCATTCTTTTCTCTGTTTCTGTTCTTTGATCTTGTATTTCTTTGTTCTTCTGGATTAGCATTGTCAGTGATAGGAATCATGCGGCCCTCTATGTGTTTTTGCACTGCAAGTCCTAGCAGCATTAGACAGCATAGCCAATACCAAGGAATGCTAGACTTGCAGTTCAAGTATATCTGTAGGGACATACAATTGGCACCTGTGCTATACTGTGTTTCTTTAGATTTTTCCATTTCCTAGGGCTGTAAAAAAATCCTCTTAACCCCTGCTTAAATTTTCTTTTTTCTCTGTCTCTGCTATGGGTACTGATGCAAGAAATGATGACTACCTAGAAATGTTAAAGTGCAATTAAATGAGAAGCACAACTTAAAATGCATGATTCAGAAGAACACAAAAGCCACCTGGAAAAAACACCTCTTCTTCAGCAACATGTCAGCTTCCAAAATCCTGTCTGAATAAAAACATCTTTACTTGACCTCTTTGTTAAGCTGTTTATAGAACTCTTCAGACAGGCCCAAAATACAGAACCTGTTGCTTTTCAGATGAGATGTCCAAACAGCGCCTCGGGTAAAAGTGAATTAATGCAGAGTAAACTATGTTTTCCCAGTTTACTCCACATTAATTAAACACCTCTAAAGATGTGGACCTTAAAGATGTGGGGAGGCCCTGCTCTCGGCCCCGCCTCTATCACAAGTGAGATTGGTGGGAACGAGGAGCAGGGCCTACTCGGTGGTGGCCCTTCGCTTGTGGAGTTCACTCCCCGGGGAAATTAGGTCATCGACATCCCTCCTCTCTTTTAGAAGGAAACTAAAAACATGGATATGGGACCAGGCCTTTGGGTAATCTGGCTGATAGATAAAGGACAATGATGACTATAATTGATAGGATTTGACAATGTGGAAGGAACTTGTGGATTCTGAGCTGGCGAACATTGAGCACTAGATTGGTTTTATTGATTGTGATGTATAATTGATTGTTTTAATTGTTTTATAATTGCTGTTTATCTTATTGTTTGTGTTGGCATCGAATTGTGCCTTTTGTAAGCCGCCTTGAGTCCTCCCTCGGGGGGTTGAAAAGGGCGGAGTAGAAATGCGCGAAATAAATAAATAAATAAATTCTAATGTTCCCCTTTAAATCTGTAGGGCAAATCAGTACTAAGCTAGATGCTTTGAATTCAATATGACAAGCTGGGACTCACATTTGATTTCCGAATTAATTCAGTGTGTTTAATTGTGTAAGCTATAAATCATTTGAAAATTCACATTAAAATGTCCTGCAAACATATATCATTTTAAAACAGAAATCCCCTTTGTTATTCCACATTTAGACTGCTTGCTTTCGAGAAGAGAGAGATGTTTTGGTGAATGGAGATTGCCAGTGGATTACTACATTGCACTATGCCTTTCAGGATGAAAATTATTTGGTATGTATAAGCAACAAGCCTTTAAAGAAGTGCACTTCAACACCTGGTTTCTCAGTTGGATATTATTTGGAGAATTTAAAATATTATCTACTCACCACTGTGTCATTTATTTTCCTCTCTAGTCATGTTTGATTTTCATTAAATGTAATGAGTTTCTTAATTTGATGAAATGAATAATTGGTCAGCTGAATGCTTGTTCCATAGCAATTTACCATGGCACAGTAGCCTTATGTGTCATTGTATATGTAAGATTACAAGATTGATGCTTCTATCCAGGGTTGGGCCTGAACATTAAATAAGATGTGGTTTAATTCATGCTCAGCCATCTTGCTTCAGTATTTGATGGAAGGGGAAACTGGAATTCTTTCCAATGAAGCCATCTTTATGGCACAAACCTTTGCTTGTTTGCTCATGAGAATGTCTCTTTGAGTTATGCGAGGTTTACCAAAGGTAATTGTGCTTAATATTACAGCTATAGTGTATGTTTGAACTGGGCCAAAAGGTGGAAAATAGCTACTTTGCCCAAGGACTATTGCAGACAAAATGCAAAGAGAGATGACTTAGAATGTGTGGGTTGATTTAGTTCTTTTAGGAAAGTAACTTGGAAAGTTACAAGTATGGCAATTGTGATTTCAGATCTATAAAACAGATGGAATCTCCAGAAATTTTGCACAAAGTTGTTATAGCAAATGTTCAAACACTGGCTTTTTCCCCATTAGATTTTTTAAAATATTTTTTTATATTTTCAGACCAAACACATTTAGTCCACATTATCACTTCACTTTATGATTAAATATATGAGTTGAAGCCTTAAAAGTTGATACTGTGATATGATTCTAATTCTTCAACTAGAAACCCCTGTCAACTTTTAGAGTAAGATGTAATAATATATAGCAGAAAGTAATTTTAATTGCTGATTTTAGCTTATTGTTGATTTTTAATCAGTGTTTTGCTGAGCTGTATTTTTTATCTTGTATTCTGCCTCCAGAGATTCTATTCTGCAAAAATGCAGCTTTAAAAACATTTTCTTAATTTAAAAATCTAAATAGAAGGACTTATCACCCTTCCTTTTCTTGCTGGTGTGTGCATCTCTAGTAATGCAGTTTTGCTTAAAGTGTTTTAATCCATTTTTTAGTTCTTATTTTGTATAATTATTCTTTTGTAGATGGAAAGTGGGATTATTTTCTGCTTTTTTCTGCTCTGATTAATATGTGGTTTGAAGACAAAAAATATAAGAAAGATTCATTGAAATGAAGCTTTCAAATATAATCGTTACATCCAGAAAGCAGTGTCATTAGTACTGACTGAAAGAAAATCCTGGGGATCATCCATGACAAGCAGTCAGTATCCCTGCCTTTTGGCTGACCTATATTTTCAAGCAGTATTCTCTTGAGTTAATTGCTTGTCAGAAACTTATAACACCAATCTCCTGAGTTAGCAGTGCCTAAAAGCATCTTTTACTGAACCTAAAGACCCTGTAGATCCTGGACCCCTGTTTTTATGGCTAAATATTTATATTTGGACTCCACTATACATATTCTTAGAAGCTATTTAACTAGAAGCTTTACTAGAAGAGTAAATAGCTCTTTGTACTCTCCTCCCATGTCTTGAATTTAGATTATAAGCCTGAGGGCAGGGACTGTCATGCTGATCATCTTTGTATCCCACTCTGTTGGAAGCCTTTTTGGCTAAAGGGTGACGTAGAAATTCAATAAACAAATAATAATTAGACTGGATACAGTGGTTGCTATCACCAGTTGTGGTCAGTCAAGCATGAACAATGTCAATGAACCATTTGTTTGACTACAGTTATCCCTACCATTCTTCCATGAAAGTCAAGCCTGTGGCCTAAATTTAATATAGTAGGGTAGACCAACTGAACCACTAGGGAATGGATAAGTTTACATATATAAGTTCTGAAATTTGGGCATATTTAACAATTTGGTTTGGATCATTGTCTATATGGTTTCATATGTGGTTTTCCACCCCGGCATTAACTAGTCTAGTGCTGGACTTGCTTACCTTTAGTACAGTTGTGTTATGTAGTTTCAAGACAGTTATTTGACACTATTGCACTTGACCATTTCCTTTCATATATTTTATTAACTTTTATCCATGGGAATTTTAGTGTTTTCTGCCAGGACCACCACTGACCATACAGTTGCTTAAATTACTTATATATGTGTGTGTGCATATACAGTCTTTAACTGCATCATTTAACTATTTTCAGAAACGGTATACATGCATTTATTTATTTGTCATTTATCTTTCCCTTTTCGCCCAAGATAAGATTCTTGACAGTTTAAAAATATCAAGCTAAAACAGCAATTTACAGAAGTTAAAAAAATATACAGCATTCTTTAAAATTATGACTATAAGCCGTTAAAATGTGACTATAAGTGGTTTAGACCACTTAAAACATACATAAAGCACAAAGAATAAACGGTTTGACTCCCAGTTTCCAGAAATGCACATTTCTATCTTTCTTGTCCCATAACTTCTATAGATAATCAGTTGTGACTTGGTTCTAAATTGACTCTTACCTGTACTGTATATTTACTGTTACGTTTCTTTAGTACTTAGTAATGGACTACTATGTGGGTGGTGATTTGCTGACACTACTTAGCAAGTTTGAAGACAAGCTTCCTGAAGACATGGCCAGGTTCTACATTGGTGAAATGGTTCTTGCTATACATTCCATCCATCAGTTACATTATGTGCACAGGTAAGGAATGCTCCTTTCTACTGGGAGCTAGTCTTTATAATTATTGTTATAAGGCAATCTGTGTAACCTACCTGTATGAGAGGAACTCCTGTTCATGTTGCAATACAAACTATGGCTTTCTGTAAAATACACTAAACTGTACAATACATTAGGTAATGCTGTACCATTTATATGCATCAGCCTCTGCTACATCCATGCACATTTAATAGTACCCCTTTGTGATTTTGTTTTGTTGCTTTACTTGTAGTATTTCTTACTTTTACATACTTCGAAATCTTCTTGAGTGTGCGGCTTCCAATATTCATTTTGTTGCTGTCCCATATTGTTTGGGTGCTGTCCTTTTACTTTTAGAAAAAAAGTAATCCTGAAATGTCACCTCAGGTGATAGGTAGATGTACATAAAACTAAGAATTGTTTTTGTTTTCCTTTTTTCCTTTCCAGTGCCTCCAATATTTAGCAGGAAGTGCTTCACTGCTTCTGATAGTTTTGTTCTTATCTCCCAGTGTTCCAGGAAGTTTAGAGCCTTTATTTAAAGTTCTACATTTAATTATCAAAACTGAAAACATCAACTTTCAAAAATATGTGGTTTTTAAAATTCTGCAGAACTTTCAGGGAGAGAAGTTTTGTAGTGTGAATATGTAATTGAAGCCAATGTTGATTGGTAACAGATAGTCAGGACCCCTATAGACATACAAAGTTCACAGCTGCCACAAATACATATGCAAGGAAATTGTGTATTATTACATCATCTGTAAAGAACACATATACCAAAACTAACTCATTTGTATATGGGCCCAAAATCAATATGCCCACAGTATTTGATTGTTGGGTAGGATGGAAAATAAAAATTAATAATGGTAGAACACACAGGGAAACTAGAAAACTGTTGGATTTAATTGAGATGTCAGTCTTTAAATTCTCATTGACTAGTTTGTTCTTGAAACTGTGTATATTATAATTTAGAATCAGTACAGAAATAAATGGCATTTAGTAGTCTAATAGAATAGTATCAGAAATGTCAAAAAATGCATTTGTCACTATTTTTGTTGTTATTCCCTGTGATTGCAAGTACATTGTATGTAATATATTGTATATTGTAATTGTGTCCTTGGCGGCATTGAATTCTTGCCTTGTAAACCGCCTCGAGTCGCCAGAAGGCTGAGAGGGGCGGTATAGAAATGTACTAAATAAATAAATAAATAAATAAATAAATAATACGTATAGAAGCTTCAACAGGTTCTGAAGTCACCTTTTGCATAGGTAACTGAATACCAGATCTGATGTTGGTATGATATTAAAACAGAATGTATGTGTATTTTCAGGACAGCTAAAAAATTGAACCCATCTAGATTGACTGTATATGCACACAAAATAATGCAGGCCTCTCATATTTATAGTAATTAATCATGCATGTCCCTGCCCCCTCTTTTTTTTTCTTTTTGGAATCTCTGTCAATATGTATTGGACCTCTAGGTTGCCATGCAAAATGGCAGTAGATATTCAGATTCTGGATTATTTTATAAAAGAGATTTCTGTATGGGACGACTGCAAAAATTCCTTAGAAATGGGGGTGGTATTACATTATTATTATTATTATTATTATTATTATTATTATTATTATTATTATATTTATACCCATCTTTATCTACCCAAAGGGGACTCAAAGTGGATTGACTTAAAAGCATTAGTAAAGAATTTAAAATATACAAATATATAAACATTAAAACAAAATATACAAACATTAAAAATTTACAGTTAAAATCACAGTTAAAATAGTAGAAGAAGCAGTTGCTGGGAGCATATCATTTGATCATTTTTAGCATTCCAATAATTTTCTTCTTGGACTAATCTTGATCTTGCTAGCATAATGTGACTTTTGGTGACCTTTTAAAATTACTGCCGCTTCAGGAACTCACTTAAGGACTTTTTGTATTGCTGAGGGCAAGATAGAAAATTGGCCTTTAAAGCCAGTTTTCTGGAGCAAGCAAACTGGTGACTTTCAGAAATGTTCTGTACAGTAGACTCTCAGTTAACCGGCAATTTATGGGAATTGCTAGATGCTGAAAAACTTTAGTTTTTGGTTACTTGAGAGTTACTATTAAAATTGGCCTAATACTATATCCCATAGTATGCCATACCATAAACTCTGTACTGACTTGATATTGAAATACAGTAGTAATTAAAACCAAATTAAGACAAATAAAGGCAAAATTAATATAACAGTTGTCTGCGTTCCGGTTAACTAAAGGGTCTACTGTATTCACTTTGCTGTCTTAAGAATGTTATGGCTTATTTTACTGCAATGTTGGGAAACAGTCCTTATACTGGTTCTTTCGCCTTCTTTGTGTATTTGAGGCAAGGCTTGAAGAAACTGTCAATCCAACTTCACAACCAAAAGTGGAAGAGCTAGTCCCTCCCCCCAGTTCCTTCCTGCATTGCTTTGAACAGAACAGGACTTTCCTTTTTCCGGCACGTCAGATGTTCAGATATTGTTGAATAAGCTTTATTGCTTTTCTTTTTTTAGGCGAATTACTTGGTTGTTTTCAAATACTGCCCTTTCTTTCAAACGTTGCTACCCTACTGGGGACAACTAGTTTGTGGGGAAATGGAAAGCTTTCTCACCCCTAATCTCTTCTTGAGTGAGGAGTTAAATGGTGGATGGATAGAGGTGTAGATGTCCTCCAAATGAGCCTAAAAGGCAGACCGACCTACCTAACCTTGTTCTGTGCTGTAGAGATATGTGATGCAGTGTGTGAACTGGCAATGAACAGCCATGTCTGCCTGTGAGTGTGATTGTGGCTGTGTAGTGAGTGATCACGATGCTTCCATTTCTCTCCCACCTCTGGTTATAGAGAGCCAATCCCAAATTGCACCACTGAATCACTCTCAGGTCAGTTGGGACCCAGGGGCGTGGGGGAAATGGCAGTGACTACAGAGGACTCACACAATAGCAGGAAGGAACATGTTGGGCTCAAAAACGCAAAGCAGGCCTGATTATGATGAATATGGGCCCTCTATGTCAGGGGTTCTAAAACTTTTAAGGCCATTGAGCCCTTTCAGAAGGAAAAGTTTCTCGTGGAGCCCCAAGAAACTTTTGGACATGTGCCAGATTACATTTTCAAATTTGACAGATGGACTGGGTCAGTGATAGATGTATGGAGAATGTCTGTGTGAACTAACTGGGGAAAAATAAACACATTCCTATGCACACTGCACATATCTTGTTTGTAGTGCAGAAATAAATAAATAAATAAAGAATAATACAATATTTAAAGTGAAGTACAATTGTAACCAACATAAACTTAACAGTATTTCAGTGGAAGACCCCAGTCCAACCCCTTTCTGCTGTGCATGAAGAGTATAGTCAAAGCACCCACAAAAGATGGCCATCCAGTCTCCTCTTTATGATAAAAATAATAATTACAATAACAACAGCAATCCCAGGGGCCATCCAGTCCAACCCCATTCTGTCATGCAAGAAAAGCACAGTCCAAGCACCCCCAGTAGATGGCCATCCAGCCTCTGCTTAATGATTATTATTATTATTAGTAGTAGTAGTAGTTATAGATTAGTAAGTAGTAGTAGTAGTAGTAGTAGTAGTAGTATTAGTAGTAACAGCAACCCCAGGGGCCACCCAGTCCTACCCTATTCCGCCAAGCAAGAGAGGCCTTGCAGGTTATGTTGGCAGCTGCAGCAGGGCTCCCAAGGTCGCATGCAGCGGAGAGCAAGAGGCCCAGGTCCTAGGGCATTGCAGGAGAAAAAGTGGCAGGAAAAAGTAGCATTTGTTGTTTGAGGCTTTTTAGAATCCTTCCTGCCTTTTGTTGGTGGGTATTAGTGTTGTTTGAGTCACAGTTAGCATTTTACATAGGTCTGGAGCTTGTTACTGCATCACTAGATGGAGAGTCTAGCTCTCCTGCCTAGAGTGGTGAAGTTTGACAGTTCCTTTAAACCCTGTCTCAAAGATACGAGTAGCAACACCCAGTATTAGGATTCCCTTTCCACCACTGCAGAAAAGAAGCCTTCATGGTAAGTGTCAGTGTTCAGTTTTAATTGCATTATATTTTACTGTCAAGAAGCTATATTGACTTAGCATTTCTTTTTACAATATAGTCATATTAGAAGTTATGTATATATGCAAGTAATACTTTAAAATAATTTTTTCTGGCTTTTCAGTAGTTACCCACTTTTTTTCCTCTTCTACTGTGTGAGGAAGTGAAAGGCAAAGTAGGTAGCATACCCTTTCGTTGTTAGAATGCCTATTCCAGAAACTGGAATTGTTTCCTCTGGGAAACAGAAGTGTGAAGAGAAGCATGAGAAATGTTGCCCTCAATACAATGTGATAATTGACTAAGTTGTAAAACTGATATCATGACATATATTTTCCCTCATGAAACAATTGCGCTGTTGCATCAGGTTTGGGGGTTGGAGAGGGGAGAAGGCAGGTGTTAAGGGAAATCACTTAATACAGAAATGTATACCACCATTTCTCTTGTGATTTTTGAGGGGCTCAAATTACAGTGTTCTCTATGCATCATATTTTATTTTAAAGGCTGGGATGGTGATTTCTTCAATGTTTGAGGAAATTCCTAATTAATAGCCAATGGACAGGGGTGATTTGCATATTTAGTTGCATAGATTTACTCTGTGTTTTGAAATTTAACAAGCTGATTCTATTTCCAACAAGAGTAGACCCGGTGAATCTGAGATAAATATCATTGATTCATTGAATGTATTTGGAATTAACAACTAGATTTCAGATAAAATTACATTTTCAAGCTATATTCAAGCTCTATAAGATGCAAATAGAACACGTTTGATTTAAACACAAAAAGCATCTATTCTCATTTGCTGTCAGCTGGAGAGAAGAGATGAATCTGCACTTTTGCAAGTGCTTGAATTTGCGGTCTTTACACATTGCTTTGAATGAGTAATCCCCTGTGCAAAATAAGTATATTATCTTCAGTGTGCTGAAATTTGATGTTGTATAATTTGTATTTGGAAAAAAATATAACTTCTTAATTGGATTAATGTCATGGTGGTGATGTTTCTAAAATCCTTTCTATTTGGTATTTGAACTGCTTTTTTTCGGCATATTTCATTTCATCTCTTATTGTTTGCTGTAATAGAATATACAAAATATTATCTTTTTTATCTCATACCATGCTGAAGATGATTGGTGTTTTATATAAATTTGCATTCATGTTTTGCCATGCTTTGTTTTGCTATTATTGTTTGTTTATATAGCACAATCAATGTTATGGTGTTTAACAAGTAAAATAACTAAAAACAATGGGCCCTGCCCAAGACATACAACTTCTTTCTCTCTTGCACACACATGCGCGCGCGCACACACACACACACCCTCATAGAAAGAAGGAATAATAAAATATAAACCTATACAATATAATTCTAAAACAAATTAGCCAGATAAAACATAAAAATACCTTACAATATAAAATGAACTGACAAATACCTGCAGTCAAAACATGCAAGGTTATAAACAATAAGACAATAAGTAAATTAAGCTTTGAACAACAAGAAAGTTTTAAATTGAGATTTGGCAATAATGAGGGAAGGTTCAGACTGCAATGTTCAGGGAGAAAAGTTCCAAGAATATGGAACAGCAAATGAAAAAGAATAAAGCCAAGCCAGGGAGGAACTCCTAGTTGGGTAAAAAGCCCAGCATTCAATTTGATTTTGAATAGCAAATCTGAGGAAATCAATAGGCATATATTACATATCTACTTTAAAAACTCCATTTTATTATAAAATTGTGATGCAACATATATCCTATGTTTACAAACAAGGTGCTGTAAACTATATTTCAGAGGACAGAACTGGCAAAACCACCTCTGGGTATTCATAGCCTAAGAAAACTGGTTTAAATGAATGAGGTTGCCATTGGGTGACAGTCAGTTTGAAAGCACGCGCGCGCACACACACACTGAATGTTCTTGTGTAATAAAAAACACAGTTGATTTCTGAACTTGATTATTAAAAGCTCAATTAAATTAACCTAATATATATTCAGTTTGAAAATATGCCTTTTCTTTTAAAATCAGAGATATAAAACCTGATAATGTTCTGTTGGATGTGAATGGCCATATACGCCTGGCGGACTTCGGATCATGTTTGAAGATGAGTGAGGATGGCACTGTATGTATTAATAAAATTTTAATTATAAGACTTGTTAAGCTATCTGATACAATGGCTTTGTGTTAACATCTTAACATTTGTAAGATACAGGCTATGACATCTGTTTATAATATTAATTAGCCAGCAGGCTGCTGCAGCTTCACTAAAGCTCGTGTATTATTCTTTGAATAAAGTAAAGTTAGAATTCTAATAGCTATTTTTTTTTAAAGTAGAACTTAAGTTCTTCGTGTTCTCTATGTCTCGCACATATGGTTTGCCCTGTTTCTACATTCTAATCTCTGGAAATTTTTAGAACCGTGTTTGAATGATAACCTCACCCCTTTGCTTGTATGTGTATAAGCCATGTGTTCATACCAAAACCAAGTTTCCATTTGCCCTAAAGGGTTTATTCAGGAAGTGTTTAATCTGTGGTGTGAAGGTCCCTTATACATATTGTCATGTTTCCTCTGTCTGGGTGAGGACCATATGATTGACTCATGCACAAATTGGCAGGACTTTACTCAGCAAGCAAGGTATAATAGACCTTTCTGTATTAAAACTCAATAGTTGAAAAGAGCCCACCAGAATGCAGCTCTTCCAGCCCACAATAAGGTACTTCATATGACCTCTGTTCTTATATGCTCTTGTCCATCTTTGACTATGAAGTATCAGCCTTTTGCTTCATCAGTCCAAACTCAAACCTCTACTTACTGCTCAGGCTTCTTTGCCTACATTTTAACACCTGATGCCCTGAGAAGCCTCTATATCTTCTTCAAGGATGTAGAAATAAGAGATTCCCCCACCCCATTCTGAGAACTCTCTGGAGAAGCAGCTTCAAAAGGAAATATATCCTTCTCCTCCAACTAAAGGATTGACAAGCTGTCTGAGAAACTCAAATTAAATGGCTTCTGGACAACTTTTTTATTTCCTGGAATCTTGCCTTCAGCTGCCATAAGATTCTCAACACTGAGAACTATGGCCACTGACAGAGCATATTGGGGCTCACAGGATCTTCATATTCTTTCTTGATATAGAAGTAGATTATTATCCTGAGATTTTTAAATCACAATTCTGAATTTTCCTGTCTTCATCCTACAGTTATAGAAATTCAAGCTATAGCTGCTATTAGCAAGACTGTTTGCAGTCTCCACCTTTTTAATGGGATAGATAATCAACATGTTTGTGTGATACTCATAATTGGGATGCATGTTACAGTGATTATTCAGCTTGTAGTCTTACCTCCTCCCCTTGCCACAGCCATCATCCCTGGGCTGCTATTTCCATTGCATTTGGCGATGCTTACATTTCCTCCATGAGTTCCACTAGCTCTTTTTTGTCCGGCCAAGTTAGCCTCTAATCATTCCTTCTTCAACTTGACACCAGTGTGATGCTGTCCCTGATCAGTGCACTGGCAGTATTATGGGCTGACCCTTTTCTTACATCTCTATAGGGGTGTTAGACTAGAACCCTGGAGACCATGATTCACATTCCGCAATCAGCTTTGTGGAAACCCACAAAGTGACCTTAGGCAAGTTATACTTTCTCAACCTCTCTCAATACTCTCTCCAAAAGAGGAAGACAATTGAACCTGTTGTCTAGAAAATCCTATATCAGGGTTGTCATAAATCAGAAAGGACTTGGAGGCACACAGCAGCAGCAGCAGCAACGAAGCCCTCTTCCTGGAACCTCTCTCTCTAAAGTATCTTATTTCTACCTCAACCAGACTTTGGTTCAGCCCCCAAGCACTTGCTTTTTTCCCCTTGGAAGGAAAGTAGTCCTGTTCTCTGTCACTGGAACAAAATAGCTCTGGAAGACCTCATACATTTGTTACCTAGGACACATATAAAAAGGAAAAGACAATCTCATCTTAGCATCTCCCATTGGGTATTTGTGACTCACAGAGACCACAAAGAACAGGTTGCCTACCATAAGTGTGGTTCTTTTACTCACAACTTGCCCTCTTCATGTCATCCCTTGATGCAAGCCGCACACCAAATGCAGAATTTCTATATGTGTGAGTGCACAGATGACAATAGAATCACACGTAGAGGTGAACAACCTGTTTATACCTTGATAAACAGGAGTTACTTTATGTGAGTCATAGCTTTCATTCACCTAACCCAATATTGTCTACACTGGCAACACCTCCGCATAATGTTTCAACATGAATTATCCCCAGTACTATGGAGCAATGTCAAGAACCGAACTTGAGGTGCTAATTTTAAAATATAAAGTATGTACCCTTCTATTTAGATATCCTTCTGAATGATGGGTCTAGGTTTTCCTCCTGTCTACACATAATATCACTTCATGTAACAGAGGTCTACAGTTTTTGGGTGGCCTTGGATGTTGAGGCAGAAGTTATCATTGCCTGTTTTTCCACTTGCTCGGATTCCCCCACTCATTCACTGTTCCTCTACCTTCTTGAGGAACATGGTCATTACCAAGGCAAATGGTATGGGAGGAGGTTATGTTGCTCAGAGATGGACACATGGTGATAGGCAGTGGTGTTTCAAACCCCCCCCCCCCCCCGCCCATCTTTTCATCTCTCAAGGTGGAAAGGCCAGGGAAAATGGGTGAAAGGGATCATTGATTTGGTCCAAGGGACTTGTAGCACCATTGGTGCTTTTGCCATATATCCGCCAAACAATCCCCACTCTTCTTCCCAACTAGGAGTCAGTTTTGAAGGTGGTGGGGATCCCCATGTTTGGGAATAATGGAATGAGGTAGCTGCTTACGTGTGTATATGTCTGTTTCTGTTCTCATGTTTAAAGAAACTCTTGATGAAGATTACTTTTTACAAAAAAAAATACTGTTGCAAATTGCACCCTGCTTCTGAACTTTACAGAGGTATATGAAACTCCAAAAAAAGAATCCAAACCATTTTAGAACAGTGGAACTTTATACTCCCAATTTGGTAAAACTAGAAATGTTAATATACATTTTGGTATAGTCTTCTCTTGTAATGAACATTGTAAGAACATATGCAGCAAAGCTGGCCTGAATGTGAAAAAGTACTAGCCAAATTAGACTTGGAAAAGGATCGTTTCTTGCTGTCTTCTGCCAACTGCAGCCCCCTTAAATTTGCTTTTTCATTCTGTCCCACACTGATGAGAAGGTGTCCTCTGCCCTCAGAATTTTTTACAAGTTTATAAGGTGAAAGAGGAGCTAGAGTGGGAAATCTTTTGATCATGGTTTTAAGGATGAGAAAGAATTGTATTTTGTTTTACAAATAAGCAAAGTCTGCTGTCTTCACATCTCAATAATCCTTCAAGTTACACCGCAGAACATAGGTTCTCTAGAGGAGAATATCAGGACATCTATCCAAGGGTTGAATCTGAACAAAAAATGCGATCCTAAACATACTAGCAGATCTACTCCAGAATGTCAGCAGAAGAATAAATTCTGTGTCCTAGAATAGCTGAGTCAAAAGTCTGTATAGAAATCCCATCATAGTGTTGTGGCTGACCTGAATCAAACTGTTCAGTGAAGGAAGAATTGAAGTAATTGCATAAGGAGGAATGGTCCATAGAGCCTTGAAACTGGGTTGTTGTAGGTTTTTTCGGGCTATATGGCCATGTTCTCATGATGTTTCGCCTGTATCTATGGCAAGCATCCTCAGAGGTAGTGAGGTCAGCCTTGAAACTGATGTTAGAAACTAACCAACAGATAAAGGAAAAATTACTTGATTGAATTTCAGTTCAGTGATATACAATTAGCACTGAATCTAAAATTTCACATACTTCTTCACACATAGCTTTGGCCTGTTGAACCCATCCTTGATAAATAAATTCTGAAAACCAACCATATTTATTGTCCTTAATTTTGAATTATCATATTAAATTAAAAGCTAATGTTTTAAACTGGATGTAGTCTTAAAAAAGGTTCGCTTTTTCTCAACTCCAAATTAATACAGAGTTGGAAGAATTTGTCTAATTCTTAGTATTTATTTTACTTTAAAGGTGCAATCTTCAGTTGCAGTGGGCACACCTGATTATATTTCTCCTGAGATACTTCAAGCAATGGAGGATGGCATGGGGAAATATGGACCTGAGTGTGACTGGTGGTCTCTGGGTGTCTGCATGTATGAAATGTTGTATGGCGAAACTCCATTTTATGCAGAATCACTGGTGGAAACCTATGGGAAGATTATGAATCATGAAGTAAGAGCTTTCAGATTCTACATTCAGTAACTCCTCTTATTTAGAAAGTATATCTTCAAACTATTGTGTCAGGATTCCAGGAAGGATTTTTTTTGGTCATTTTTGAGGTATGATTTAATGGTGGTAATGATTTCATGGCTCAATTAATTTTTAAACAGAGCTTTAAAAACCTATCTTTTTAAAGAAGAAACTAATGTTCAGAAGTTAATGAATGTAGATTTGCCTGAATGTTGTTATGATATATTGGAAATATACCTGGTTTGCCATTGCTGAAAGGCTTTGTTTGGGGCTCAGGCTTGTACTTTGTGTCCTAGAGGCACTATTCTAAATTGCTTAGTGAAAACACATGTGCTCAGAGGCAATTTATATGAATTTAAACTAACAGAAACTAATATTTTGACCCCTTCCTGTTAACAGGTTTATTGACAGTTTAGTTTCTGTTGTGTTTTAACTTGCAGTAAGTTTATTCAGAAATCCTCCTTTAACCTTTTATCATTATAAAAAATGGAAGTTTTGTTCCATATTTCTTTTTTTTTCTGTTTATTTAGGAGAGATTCCAGTTTCCATCACATGTTACTGATGTCTCTGAAGATGCAAAGGACCTAATCCAGCGACTTATCTGCAGCAGGGAACGTCGTCTGGGGCAGAATGGAATAGAAGATTTCAAGTCACATGCCTTTTTTGAAGGACTCAATTGGGATAATATCCGAAATCTAGAAGCACCTTACATTCCAGATGTTAGCAGTCCTTCTGACACATCAAATTTTGATGTAGATGATGATGTTTTAAGAAACCCTGTAAGTTATTCTTTTATTTTCTTTGAGAGGAATTCTAAAGTACTCACATTTCCACAGGATTTCTGTTACTTTCTTGGTTCTCACCTTTGAACTGTGTGATCTGAGCACCTTAGAGTTCATCTAGTTCTTGCTGCAGTAACATTTTACATAAGGATCAGTACCATATACCATCCCGTATAAGTCAAAGGCAGGTTTGGGGGCCAAAATCATGAATTTTGATATGACCCTTAGATAAGTGATCATTCTACTGAGAGGGGAAAGCACCACTGACATTTCAAGGGGACAGCTGCCCCTGGCTGTCCACCATTTTCCTCCCAGACATTCAAAAAGTCAAAAAGTGGTGTTGTGGAAGAGGCAGTAGTCAGTATTTCTTTTAGATTCTACTGTACTTTAATGCTCTACTCAGAGAAGGCAGTGGTTCTTTTATTTTTAAAGAGTTACATTACAGTACTCCCATTGCCCTGTGGATAAGTTGATGCAGGTTTTGTTTTTGTTTTTTTGCATTTATGTTTTGACTGAAATTGATAGACGTGTACATGGGTATATAGTGTAATTCTTATATGATTCAGGTTGCTTATGTTTGTTTTACAGATTGTCAATCTACTTTGCATGTCATTATTCATCTGTTTTATTGTGACAGAGTCATTTTATGCATTACGCAAAATTGTGTGAGGTATTCAAATTCTTTGGTGTAATACTTCACAGTGTAGGGAGAATATAATGATTGTACACAACATAAACATGGATACTGTACATATTGTCATGAGAAAGATACTCAATCCAAAATTGAAATAGAATTTAAAATAGATGTGTCAAATATAAACAGCATATATATTTATACACAAGTTAACATGAAATTCAAAGTGCAGCATGTTTTGACCTAAGAAGTCTTCTTCAGATCTTACAAGTGAAATAATATAGTAAATAGTTATAATTCCAGGAGGCTGATTGTTTACATTCTTGAAATTCCACTATTCAGTCTGGAGTATAATATTTACATGTGCAAGATTAGTCCGCCAATACAAGAATCTGGAGCAAAGGTAAGTCTGAGAGCTTGGAACATTAAATAAATCACTCTGAATCTTGCTAGGGGAAAAGACAGGATATATATAATAACAATAACAGGTTAAATATAATTGTTAAATATAATTGAGCATTAGACATTGGGGAATTCATTTGTTGCCATCAATACTATTCAATTCATGTAGGTTAGGTTGTCTTTTAAAAAATACATACCAAAAATGATCCATTGACTCTGTAGACAATGACTTTATTATTGTCATGGTTGCACTTTTGGTGCACATTTTATTATTGGTGCTTGGAAAAATGTTATTTTTGTCATTTTAAAATTGCCTTCCTTCCATTTAGCATATTTCCCTAGATGGACTACAAACCACGTTATATAATTACTCTTGTAGAATGTAAAATGCAACATCTTCCAGATTAAAAAAAGACAATCCCATAGTAGGGGATTTCATCTTAAAACCTGATCAATTAAGTTTTCTCACTTTTCTTTCTGTCCACACCAAAAATTACTGTATATACTCTACTATAAATTGGTTCCGGGAATAGGTCATGGTCAGGTTTTGGGACCCAAAATTACTGAATTTATTATAGACTATGAATAAGTCAAGGATAAAATTTAAGAACATGTAATAAAGGACACAAAGCAAAGGAAATAATGCCAAAGAACTTACAAAATTCTAGCAGGTGTAACTGTATGTGTTCATCCTAAAGGCTGATTGGATAGGGAAGAACTAAATTGTGACCATGCAATGTGTGGAAGGTTCACTTTGGATCACTTACATTTCTTGTGTGGTGAGCTGGAGAAACGACAACACCAAGTCCAGATCAAGCCATGGCAGATGGCTGGGTGTATTGACATAGAATCATAGAATCAAAGAGTTGGAAGAGACCTCATGGGCCATCCAGTTCAACCCCCTGCCAAGAAGCAGGAATATTGCATAACGGATTGCTGAAAAGCAACCCAGCATACTTCTTTTTATAGAGAGATTCACCATAGCTCACCATAAATTATACGACACAATATTKTATTTTACACATTTATATGCAGTTAAACCTAGTTGAGGAGCTACTATGCACTGTGATTCTATTTTAACTGCCAYGACTGCATCCTATGGAATCCTGGGGTTTATAGTTTAGGAATGCACTAGAGTTTTCTGGTGCCAGCCAATTTCTTCAATGAACTTCCCTAATCAATCTTATGGCTTTCACCAGAAACAGTWCTTATCTTACTATCATGATGAGGAATGTTGATGATTTTTWAAAAAAATAAAGAACTTGATGATTTTTAGATTTAAATGTGCATGCTAAATTAATTTTTAAAAATTGAAATACAGTAGTTTCTTTAACTGTAAATGCAAAGATTATTGTCAATGATAGTGATGATGATTTTAAATAACCTGGATATGAGTATGTAGTCACTGCATTTCATCTATAAACTGAGTCAGAATGTGCATCACAGTGGTGTGCTGTTTCATCAGATTGAGGGGCCAGCTGCTCACTCTGGGAATCACATAGACTGCCAGAAATAAATCAATATTTTAAAGTGTAGAGTAGTTAACTTCTTTCTTTGAAAAAAATAGGTGTTTCAAATAGTGCAAGGCAGCTTTGTAAGATAGTGAATGAGTGAATTAATGTTTCTTCACCTTCAGTTGTTGTCATTGCTGGAACTTTGTGTGAGAGCTGAAAGGCATTGTAGTTGCAAAAACAGCTACAGAGTTACACAGGCAGGTTACCTATTTACTTTTTTTACTTAGGCGAACACTCGTTTTCCGAGGAGGATTGTCTTCCAGTGTTCCTTCGGGTCCGTATGAGGCTGTGGAGCCCTATTCTTGCTCTGCATCTTCTTCTGCATTGGTTTCCAGGTGGAAGGCGGTCTCGGTCGGGGTTGGCTTGACATGCCTTCCTCTTGGCACGCTTCTCCCTTTCGCCCTCCACTTGATCCAACTCTGCTTTTGATCCAACCCTGGTTTTACCACTTACGCTTTTTTTAAAAGGTTTTTTTCCCCCTTTAGAACTGGTTATGATTGTTTGCATATATTTGCTGACAAAATATTAGTAATTCACTTTTAGTTGTGGGAAAAAATTGTTCTAATGTGTCCAGTATCTTCAAATCTTTCTTCTTTCAGTATAAAAAAGAGGTCAGCACCACTGTAAAGAAGTATGTGAATGAAAAAGTGTCTATTGCAGTCTCATGTATCCTAAAAACCCTAACAACACCAGATCCTCTGTTATCTGGGAAGCTAGGCAGGGTCAGTCCTGGTTAGTTCTTAAATGGGAGACCACTGATGAGTATCAGATGCTGTAAGCTATATTTCAGAAGAAGGAACTGACAAAAGCACCTCTGAGTATGCCTTTCCCAAGAAAACCCTATGAAATTCATGATGTTAGCATAAGTCAACAGGTAGATTGAAGGTGCATGTATGATCACACATACACACATCTTTATACTTAAATTCATGAACTCATAAGTATTGTTGGGTTTAAAATATTCAAGATTTACAGTAATCTGGAAATATTTTAAAGACATTATTCATAAGTATTTTTAAAAAGCATTGTAAGTATATACAGTAAAAGAACGAGATATAAACTCTATAAAGCAAAACTAAATAATAAATTTAAAGATAATAAAATCAAATGTACAATAATTTGTAAATTAGTATTTAAATTATTGTTTAGGAAATATTTGAAACAGCATTGCTAAGAAGCTTAATTTAGATCAACAATTTAAAATTTCATAAGCTGCCTTTTGTGGACCTGAAAGTTGGTTTTAAAAATTGTTTCAATAAATATTTTGAAATCAGCCTCCTACAGATTTAAATCATTCCACATTCTACATTCAAGTTTCATTTTGTGTTTCTTTTTCTACAGGAAATGATACCACCTGGTTCTCACACTGGCTTTTCAGGATTGCATTTGCCTTTTGTTGGTTTTACCTACACAACTGAAAGGTGAGTGAAAAGGTTAGCAGGGATAGGGGTACACAGATATGGCACATTCGACTGTATGCATTTATCTTTCTACTACTTAATTGAGTTGTAGAATGAAATGCTCACAGCTAGATTTCTGAACTTTTGCTTTTGCTTTTTTATTAGAAGTTATTTATGTGGCTCCATCATTGTATATAGTACCTTATTAGGGTGGTGTGAGCAAAAGGATACATTTCTTTGTCCAAGGAGTAGCAGTTCAGTCTGGGCAACTGCAGAGGGGCTGAAGGCCAGTTTTCACCCCTGCTCTTTCTCCTAGTCAGACACAATGGTACACCAGACCTCCACACCTTGTTTAAAAATTGATCCCCCCTCCCCCAGGGCATTAGTTGTCCTTCCCCCACAATTCAAAATCCCTACAGAACACAGTGGTTTTGTTTCCTGGTCCCCCTCAAAACTGTCAAAAACACCAAAAAAGTCAAATGAAAATTACCGAAAGTTGAAGTAGGTTCTGATATTTGTAAATTTGGAAGAAATTTTGCAGAAGTTCTGGAAGATTGTAAGTTATGGGAGTTTCAAAGAGCAAGAAGCTGCGTTTTGCAGTAATTCTGAATTTTTGGGGGATTGCGTTTTGGGAGTCTAAGAGACCCATGTTATCTGTGGGTCGCGCTGTGCCTACCCCTGTTACCGTTGAACATTATGAAAAAATGGAGTGAGGGGAAAGGCTACATGTGAGTAAATTATACATATTTCATATTTAAACTTCATTTAATGGCCATCTGCCGGGGGCGCTTTGATTGTGATTTTCCTGCTTCTTGGCAGGGGGCCAGACTGGATGGCCCATGAGGTCTCTTCCAACTCTATGATTCTATGAATTTCCTGTAGTCCACTAGCTAGGAAATTGCTTTTATCCTCTCTATATCCATCTCAGAGTGGTGTACATGATGTACCATTGCCCTGTTTTATCCTAGCAATAACTATGTACAGTAGATTGTCTGCGCATTAATTACTAATTCAGAACCATTCAGTAAGTGAACTTCAGAGCTAAGTGGAGAAAGAGTTCCTGGTCTGACATTTTTTTCTCTACATCACATTAATTATTATGAGGAATAGTGATAAACTGAGTCTTTATCTGTGAGTTGTAATATAGAGTATTGACATTAGTTCATCTTTTTCCCTCTAAGAGAAATATGGAGGTTGGAAATATCTGATAGAGTAATGTCATAAGTGCAGATGGCAGTGAAATGCTTAGTCAACTCATTGGTTTGTCTAGTCCACTACTTTCTATCCTGGCTGACCGTAGTCCTGCAGTGTTTGCGGCAGGCCCTGTTACCATTTTAACTGGCAAAACTGGAACTTGAAGCATTCTATACCAAAATGATATGACGTGGTGTAGTTTTATTTGAGAAACTAAAGCAGGGGATTGGCCTGGTTAATATTTGGATGGCAGACCACTATGTATACAGCTAGACAAAAATAGGTTTGAAACCCTGAAGAGCCTCTGCCAGTCAGATTTAACACTGGATGAGATGACCCATATAATAAGTCAGGTTCATATGTTGTGCAATCCTGTATTTTTATGATGAGTTCATTCACCTAGTGACCATGTGGAGCTTTTCACTACCAAGGAGAGCTCTGTGGAGTATTACATACTCATGCTAAAAAAAAGGTGGACAAGTGGTAGTGAAAACCACATCATTATTTCACTCTGTGGTTCTACCAATGAAATAACCAGTAGAGGGAAAGAGATCTTCATCCCCACTGAAGCTCGGGAAACATTCTCTGGAACTGGTTTTTCTATAACTTGGAGAGCTAAAGGAGGGAGGGAAGATGAAGGCAACTACCACCAGAGCATTGCTTTTAGCCTTCATCCCAAAGTAATTTGGAAGTTGTTACTGTGATGTTTTCCAAATACGTTTGCATATACCTCCTGAAGTGAAGGAAAGCAAATTGCATCTTATTTTTGCCATTTTATTTGCCATCCAAGTTCTATAGTAATGCAGTAGAAAATGCAAAGATATTTATTTTATCATTGAACAATTTTTCCCACACTTCTAGTTGTATTGAATTTCCAAATGACACCTGCCTTTTAGCATTGAATGTGTTGAATAAAACCAGTGTCGTGCTGTCTTGGGGTTCCAGCTGTTTTTCAGATAGAGGTTCATTCAAGAGTGTGATGCAGTCCAGCGGTATAACCAAAGATGAGGACGTTCAGCGTGACTTGGAAAACAGCTTGCAGATAGAAGCATATGAAAGGAGAATACGAAGATTGGAGCAGGAGAAGCTAGAACTGAGCAGGAAATTGCAAGGTATGTCTTCCTTCATTGTTTTATGCAACAGAGCAATAGTATCTGTCTTTTTTATTTTTATTTTTTACTAAAAACATTTTTCATTCAATTTAAGAATCTACTCAGGCTGTTCAGTCCCTTCATGGTTCTGGTCGCATAACGGTAAACACAAACCGGGATAAAGAAATAAAAAAGTTAAACGAGGAAATTGAACGCTTGAAAAACAAAATAGCAGGTATGTGCTTCACATATTTTAATAGTTTTTTCCCTAGTTCTGGAAGAAGTGCATAATAATTTCAGTTACACAAGGTGTGCTTCACTAAGTTTGCTGCTGGATCTTTTATATGAATACCAAGGCAGCTCCTTGTGTTAAAACCTGAGATATTACATTCTGATATTGCTTTGGAGAGTTGTGTAGCTGCAATGTTAAGTAATATTTAGATTTTTTTTAAAAAAACTTATATCTCTACTAAAGCTTCCTTGAAAAAGATAATGGTTCATTCCCACCAGAGCTTCAAGAAAGAAAGCAATTTTTGCAAGTTTATGTAGATTGTTCTTTTGTCTTCTCTCCTTTCCAGTAAAATCCCAGGATATTCTCTTCTTCTTATTTATTTATTTATTTATTTACATCACTTATATCCCGCCCATATCAGCCGGCAGGCGACTTCTTAATCCTGCTATTTCCAGGGAGGGTAGAGTCTTTTTATGGAATCTTGTGCAAGTGGCTTCTATTAAAAATGTACCATATTTTTCTTTCTTTTGATAACATACAGAGAAATGTGAAAAGCACATTATTTAATGTGGGTCTGCTTTCATGCTAAGAACCCTCAATCTTAGCTTAAAAAATTAATAGACTGGGATGTTAGCAATGTATTAACCTATGGTCCATTGAGTTCAACAGAGCCACTTTCTTTGCATTCATGCATGGTTGAGGATGTGACAGCAGGAGGAAAGGGCTACAAGTTCCATGCCGCTTCTTTTCCAAATGCCAGTTGCTTTTTTACAGGGGAGTATACATGTAGCCAAAACAATATGGGAGATTTGGCTTGGACAGTCAACTAACCCTTGGCACAGATTCTGGTTTGCCTAAAGTAATATACACAGTAAAATGCCTCCAGACTTAGTCTGATTTTATATGTTAACCTTTCTGTTAATGCTATAGCCTTCACTCTATTCAGCAACCTTTGGATATAAAGACCATTTAACATTTTCCATAATTGTACTATTTCTAATTTGGCAGCACTTAACAAAAGTACTACAAGGTCTTTGCTTGGCAGTTTTTCATTTTTACTTTCAAATGCAGATATATTTACAATAAAGCACCCTAGCACAATTTGACCTAAGATTTGAACTCTCCAATTTATCATGTTCTCCCAGAAATTTATTAATTTTGGTCAGGTTACTCCCATTTGTTTCCCACCTCCATTTTGATGCAACTTACTCAATATAATTTTGAGGACTATAATTTTGATATAGTCTTAATTTTATGAATTTTAACTGGAGAAGAATGCCATTTTTGGAGAATAGCAGAAACTAGTTAGGGTAGTGTCCAAATTCTTTGTCATTGATTCTCTGATATTAGGATTCCTGTATCTGACACTCATGTGTCTTATTTCTTTGACTTAAAAACATTCTCTTCATGTAATATTCCATATATTCTTGAAGCTTGCCCAGTTATTCTGTTCATACCATTTCTACAATATATCTCAAATAAAATTGGTCTGCTATTCAGCATTTCAAAGAAGAAATGTAGAAGGTTAAGAAAGAGTGCTTTTTCACAGAGTCTGGTGCCCCATAATGTGCAGGGTTGAGTTTTGAATTAGGACCTTCTTGCTGCTGCTACTCAACAGGACTCTCTAAGTACATACTTTTGTATATGATGTGTACAGTAACAGGTTCCAGATTTTTTGTGGTGGTGGGTAGAGGAGGAGGGCAGAAAGTAGAAACTTTTCATTAGAATTTGCCATACTCAGCTCTAAATCTTCTGTTTGCGGCAACATTTTTTGGATAAATTGCACCACATTATTAAGGAAACTTTTCTTGTATGAAATGAATCATCAACATCATCAACATCATCATCAACATCATATTTAATTACTTATTAATAGCCCTCCATTCGAGCTGCTCGGATGGAGGGCTATTTACAAGCTAAATTGTAAAAGATAAAAATACATACATACAGAAATTAATGATTAACATAGATCAGATGCTCTAGTGAAAAGCCAGGCCTTAAGTGCTAGAGTAAAAGGCCCTAACATTTCTTTGCTGACTTGTATCCAGGTGTGTAAAAATAGCTACAGCTGTCAATTTTGGTTAAAATTTGATTGTTTCCTTTAATTTGGAGGGAGGAAATTATGAGAGTTAGGGGCTAGTGGTCTGATGTTTTTGTGTAACTGCCAGCAGACAACTGGGGATTTTTTATTTTAATAACTTGTTCACCCGCTCTAAAGTTTCTTCCCTTCCTTCCTTCCTTCCTTCCTTCCTTCTTTCTTTTTTGAGAATTTAAGATCCAAAATGAGAAAGTATTTCCCATGTCCCAGGACCAAAGTAAAATACAGCCTTCCTTTTTTCCTTCAAGTAAACTCTTTAACTCCCACAACTCATGTGGCCTTTATGTTCATGTCTTTCCTTCCTCTTCCTTGCAATAAATATTTCTGATATTTCAGGGAATCCAGAATGCTATTCCAGTTATCTCTGCACACACACAAAGTGATTGTGGACTTGTGTCTCTTCAACAGTCTCCTAGGTCAAATGACAAATTGCTTTCTTAAGTAAAGGGAATTTCAAAAATAGTATAAAAAGATAAATCTGCTATTTATTTATTTTTTAAAAAAACATTCAAATTCCAGCAAGCATTTTAAAGTAGATTTTTGTGTGTGGCATCAGCCTTTAAAAACATGTATTGGATGCAAAATCAGTATTGTTAAACAAGCAGATAACAATTTATTTATTATTTATTTACTATACTTGTATACCACCTTTCTCAGCCTATTGGCAACTCAAGGCGGTATACAAGTATAGTATGCTTATGTCCTTGATATATTCTGACTTCTGCATATTCATGTCGTTGTTATTGGGTCTCAGATTTCCTCAAGTATAAAATTTGGATGTTATTTTGATTTAGGCCACATCATAAACTGAGCTCTCATGGTGAAGCTTCACTCATCTCTGTTGGTGTAAGCGGGAAGAATTATATATTACCCTCATTGCTTCGTATAACTAGTTCTTAGAAAATAATGTTTAAATTTGCTTTTTATGGAAGAATCCGCCCTTTTTAATTTTATAGATTCAAATAGGATAGAACGGCAGCTCGAAGATGCAGTGACGCTGCGGCAGGAACATGAGGATTCCACTCACAGGTTAAAAGGCCTTGAAAAGCAATGCAGGATACTGAGGCAAGAGAAAGAAGACCTTCATAAGGTATTTATAGGACATACATTGTCTGAGGAATATAAGGAATAATAATAATAATAAGACTAAAACTAGAATATAAGGACTAAAATAGAGATAACAAGGCCAGCCCTGTTGAACAGTCTGGAAAGGGTTTCTAAAGAGAGTTTCTGTTATTTATATTCTAGCCTTTTTTCATCACTCAAGGAATGATTTCCATTTATCATTACAGCAAATTTGTGAAGGTTTGTCTGAAAAATAGTAGCATGGTCAAATTGCCATAGAGTAGGAAATAACAATAAGCTACTCTGTATTATTGTGTATAAGTCTAGACATTTTAGTAAAACAATCAGCTACAAAAAATGGTGCCTTTAACTCTTACAAAAAAAAGAACCTCCCCTTCTCTGAGAGAATGGCAAAAGGCAAGAGCTCAGCCCCAGGAGAACATAAAAGAAGCATTGACCACGCCTTCCCAATTCCTTTCTGCCATAGTGCCAGTTCTAGCCATTTTGAATTCTTGAATGGGGAAATGGCAGCTAGGAGTGGTTGTGCCTAGGAGGTGGCCTTGGTGCTTTTCTTTCTGTATGGAATGACCCTCAACTTATCCAGGGGTTATATCAAAATCCATAATATTGGCCCCAAATCTTGCCCTCGATTTACTCACAAGGTCAATTTATACATGAGTATATATGGTTGGTATTCCCAGTTCAAATTCAGAACTCTGCTACATTGTCCTTGCTTCAGTTGTTAGACAGAAATGTAAATCAAACTCCTGCAGGAAGCAAGCTGCTAATATTAGTTATACAGTTTATCATATACAACTTCAAACAGCCCACATTTTCCAATAGGGCACTTTGCATATTTCTAGCTGCATGCAGAACCACAGTGACGGTGTTGTTTGAATGTTGGACCAGAATACCAGAAGATCAGAACCTGGCCTCTTTGGCCATGGAAACCCATTGGGTAACCTTGGGGAAATCGGACACACTTAGCATCAGAGGAAGTCAATGACAAACACATTCAGCCAAGAAAATGTCATGATAGGATCACTATAACTCAGATATGATTTGAAGGTACACAGCAACAACACGATACATATAAACAATGCAGTAACATGGTACATCAGGCATCTCCCACTTCATCTGTTGTTCAGCTCTCCAAGAACTATTCCAAGCTCCTTTTGTTTACCATTTGAGCATAGATGGTGATGAAAGGGAGGGGGTGGTGGAGTTCCCGGTTTAATCTGTTGAAAGAAGGTAATTACTGGCAGTAATAAACTCTTGTTCCCTGTGGTAAGTAACCCTTTCTTATCTATACATGTTGTCCTATGGCCAGGAACTTTAGCATAAGCATGAGCAGAATCTAATTGAATCTATTTTTTGTTCCTAGAATTGGGTAGGATCACTGTCAGATGTGGAAAGGCAGTGCTAAGCACAACTATGAATAAAATGGTTTCAGATTTTACTTTTTTAATGAAGGGAGGGGCATACACAAGTTCATTAAGTCAGTGAGAGGAAGGAAGTGGAAAAATGAAGTTTAAAAATGAAGTTTAAAAATGACACAGATAATCAAGAAAGAAGTTTTATTATTCTGAAAAGGTAGTTTAAAGGAAGATGAAAAAGGGTCACAAAATAAATATGAAAGAAAAGAGGAAAAAGAGATGACCTTAATCGTAAGCATATAGCATATTCAGATACTGAAGTGATGATGTGTAAATGCTTCAGCTTATATCCTGTCAAAATGTCTGTTGTTGTCTTGAGAATGGGAATACTTGAGCCTATGGTATAACTGTTATATATGTTAGTGCATGTTGTTCTAGCAGTTGATAATACTATTGTTTCTTTTCATCTCAGCAACTTGTTGAAGCATCTGAAAGATTAAAGGCACAGTCCAAAGAACTGAAGGATGCCCATCAACAAAGAAAGCTAGCAATGCAAGAGTTCTCAGAGCTGAATGAAAGGATGGCAGACTTACGCTCTCACAAACAGAAACTCTCTCGACAGCTCCGTGACAAGGAGGAAGAAATAGAAGTGATCATGCAGAAAATTGACTCCATGAGACAGGAAATTCGTAAATCTGAGAAAGCGAGGAAAGAGGTAGCTTGGCAGGGTACTTGAGGATAATGGATTTCAGCTGCTATTTATGCTTGAAATGGTTAACTATGGCTGGATTCACACATACAAGCAGCTGTTTTATTTTTGTGTGGGCTTCCCAAACCACCTCTTCCTCTTTAGGGTTGTGTTGAGAAATATAATGCTTGAACCAACTACTCTACAGCATAGATGGATAGAGTTTTAAATGGGGTCTTGGTTGTCTAAAAATGTTGCTGCTATGCCTCAGAAAGATTGGCTAAGTCATTGAGCGGGCTGGGTGGGGGTGGCACAGGAGTGAGGGTGACTTGTAAAGAGTGTAATATGTCTTTAGAAGTTTAGGTAGTTTCTGGAACTTGGTGTGGATATATGCTCTTGCAGATCTGCCTGTGCCCTCAAGTCCTACGAATTGTGCCTTCAGTTAGGCATCTGCATTTTTATTGTTTTGTTCAACCACCTACTTCTTGTAGATATTCTACAAATACAATTAGCTGAATATATTATGTTTCGGTAATTAAACCAGTTTCTCTTTTTATAGCTAGAAGCCCAACTTGATGATGCAATAGCAGAAGCATCTAAAGAACACAAGCTTCGAGAGCACAGTGAGATTTTCTGTAAGCAGCTGGAAAATGAACTGGAAACTCTAAAGGTGAACATATGTTTGTTTGTTTCTTTTTTTAAAAAAAAATCTAAGCCATGTGAGAACAGCAATGGCTAAAAATTCAGTAGAGTCTCGCTCATCCAATTTTCTCTCATCCAGCATTCTGTATTATCCAAAAACAGTCTGCCTCCCGTCCAGATCTCCAGATGTTTAAATACATTGCAATGTTTTGGTACTAAATTCGTGAATACAGTAATTACTACATAACTTTACTGTGTCCTGAATTGCTTTTTCTGTCACTTTGTTGTAAAACATGATGTTTTTGTGCTTAATTTGTAAAATCATAATGTAATGTGACGTTTAATAGGCTTTTCCTTAATCCCTCCTTATTATCCAACATTTTCACTTATCCAATGTTCTGCCAGCTCGCTTATGTTGGATAAGCGAGACTACTGTATAGAATGTCAGTACATTGTACAGGTGTAGACCATGCACGTCCTAAAAACAAAGGATCTAGCTCTATCTATTTATTTGCTGTCAAATTATCCTCAATTTATGGTGTATGCATGAGAGATCTGTACTGAATGAGCGCCCTCCCTTCTGGTCTTTAGAAAGAGAACAAAGACATGGTTATGGTACCAAGCTTTTGACTGGTAAAGTAATGCAGTACAAGAAGTAAATATGGAATGTATGCAATCAGCATTTGGAATGGCCTGGTCTACGAGTTTGGTTCATGTGATTTTAATGTTTTTATTAGGTGTTTTTACATTTAATTTATGCTTAGTTATATGTTGTTTAATTTATGATTTGGTTTATGTATGTAAGGCATTGAACTGCTTTGAGTTGGCCCAGGGGTGAAAAAACGGTATATTAATACTGCAAATAAATAAATAATAAATGTCCCCAAACATTTCCAGAGTAAACATTATGTATTACCTGATTGAAAACATCCCATTCCTGTCCACTATAGTTCATTCATACCAAGAATGGTTATGTCTGAATATCCTGTTTCTGGTGTCCCCTGATTTTTGCTTCTCGCATTCCGTATTTCTTCAACAAGTATTGTGCAGCTTCTGACTTGTCTTTAATCTCTGGACATGTTAACAGCTGAACATCCTTTAAGGTTCAGTCAAGTTGCACTGTTAGACAGTGTTAGACACTGCTACTCAAACTGCTCTTCCACTTCCAGAATACTTGGTTAAATGTTTTCCAACTTCCATCTTCTGATATTAAATATGAAATCAGTTTGGAATGTAAGACTTCTTACAAAACTTTTAGCTATGGAAGCACAAATATACAGATTCTTACAAGCCAGAGTCAATTCCTCAAACAGTAAGGGTATTAAATATGTTAATCTGTACATTTCTAAATTTGGATTAATCACCTGGGATGTCTTTCTTCTGTTATTTTCTGTTCTTGTATAGTTAAAGCAAGGGGGCCGTGCTGCAGGAATGGCCATGCAGGAGCATCAGCAAGAGCTGGCCAAAATGAAGTCAGAGCTTGAGAAGAAAATCTTGTTCTATGAAGAGGAACTGGTCAGGCGAGAAGCATCCCATGTCTTGGAAGTAAAAAATGTGAAAAAAGAAGTGCATGACTTAGAAAGCCACCAGCTAGCATTGCAGAAAGAAATCATGATGTTGAAAGATAAATTGGATAAGGCAAAACGGGAGAAGTAAGTTCCGTATGCATCTGCTTTCTTTTTAGAATGTATGTGGAAACAAGAACCTAAGCACAAGATATGTATTTGTTTCTATAAAAGGTTTGCAATATTTATTTGTTGTCCTTTTAATAATAACATCTTGCATTTACAGACATAGTGAAATGGAGGAAGCAGTAGGAACTCTGAAAGAGAAATATGAGAGAGAGAGAACCATGCTCTTTGAAGATAACAAGAAAATAACATCTGAAAATGAAAAGGTAATTGGCATGATTTTGGATTTTTCATCAGCTATAGTAACACGTTCAGATTTTTAAAAGTATCTTCCTTCAAATTCAAGGGGCAGACAAGTGTTATGTGAATGGGCTTTCCCTCTTTGTACAGTGAAGTGTTTCAATTTGCTCTCTCAACCATTGTATCACATAGATTTTTTCCAAGGGGTCCCCAAATTTTCTTAAAATTTTAAGTGTTCTAGACAACTGATAGGGAGTGTGATCCCCTTTCATTCCACGGACATAAGTTGTTGATAAAGTTGGATACCACCCAAGAAATGCTAAACATATAGATCAAAACAATTAAGAAGATTTTTTAAATGTTTTTTAATTAAAATGTGGGGGAATAACTTCAGTTAGGAGCCCCAGGTGGCGCAGTGGGTTAAACTTGCTGACTGAAAGGTCAATTCAAATCCGGGGAGTGGGGTGAGCTCCCGCTGTTAGCCCCAGCTTCTGTTAACCTAGCAGTTCGAAAACATGTAAATGTGAGTAGATCAATAGGAACCACTTCTGCAGGAAGGTAATGGTGCTCCATGCAGTCATGCCAGCCACATGACTTAGGAGGTGTCTACGGACAACACTGGCTCTTCGGCTTAGAAATGGAGATGAGCACCACCCTCCAGAGTTGGAGACAACTAGACTTAATGTCAAGGGAAACCTTTACCTTTTAACTTCAGTAATTGTGATTGTTTAGTGATCCTTTTCTAAAGCACTTTTTGTATATGTGCCTCATCACTGAGAGGATTCTCCTTTAGTTCATTGTTTGGAAACTGGCCTGAAAACTTTTTGTGGGAAGGGATGAGGATTGCACAAGCCTTGGAATTGTGTTAAGTTATGGTTGTGAAAACTCCTGATTATCTCATTGCAGCTTTGTTCCTTTGTGGATAAACTTACATCACAAAACAGGCAGCTAGAAGATGAGCTTCAGGATTTGGCAGCAAAGAAGGAATCTGTTGCCCACTGGGAAGCTCAGATTGCAGAAATTATTCAATGGTATGTATTCTTTGAGAATCCATTGAAAAATACTCCGGAGTTTTATTAGCAGAAGAGAGTCTTGCAGAGAAATAAATATCTCTTCTTGCAGATGATCTGCTTCACAAATCACACACAGTGGCGAACATTGATTGATTTATTGTGTCTGTCTTCCCTGATATAAGAGCTTTATTTTGTGCCAAAAGATTTCTTAGAAAGGAACACTTCTTGGTCATAGTTTTAAAATTACTTAATATTAACTGAAAAGATTGTAACCTCATCCTTTTGTTTCAGTATTTTTTAAACATATTCTAGAAATATACTGTGAAGTTCCATATCTGCAGGTGTACTTCAGTTAACTAAGCAGATGTGTTCCTGGGCATTACTTCGTTAACAGAAAATTTGGTTCCAGAGGCCAGAAACAACATGGAAAGAATAGGTATAGATTCCTACACCATAAACAAAAACAAAAAACAGTTCAGCATGTTTTAGTAATTTTTAAAATCTAAAATTAACAATATGCCCATGAAACAACTAAGATCAAGTAAGCCTTGCCTAAGCAAACAAAAATATTTTGAACTTTATAGAGATATATTGATATCTTCCAGAATGCACCCAGAGGAGATTTTTTTCTCTTTCACCAGCCACTTTTCTTATGCTTTTTATTTTGCTGCCCAAAAATGTTCACTTATGTTTTTCTTCCTGTGTTGCTGTTCATTTGTATTCTGAATGCAACTGCTGTTTACTTTGTCTGTTGTAGTTAGTCACACACAGCTACAGAACTAGGGTGCAAAGGACCATAGTTAACAAAATGAATTTCAACAAGGACAAATGTAAGATACTACACTTAAGCAGACAAAAATGAAATGCAAAGATACAAAATGGATGGCTCAATAACAGTACATGTGAAAAAGATCTTGAAATCTTCATGGACAACAAGTTGAACATGAGCTATCAGTGTGTGTGATGCAGCAGTTTAAAAAGCCAATAACATTTTGGATTGCATCAAAAGGTGTATAGTGTCTAGATTGAGGGAAATCATGGTACTTCTATTATATTTCAGTTAGACCTCACCTGGAATACTGTATCCATTTCTGGCACCACATTTCAAAAGAGATTTTGACAAACTAGGTGTCTAGAGGAGGACAGCTAAAATTATTAAAGGTCTGTAGACCACACCCTGTGAGGAGCAGCTTGAAGAGCTGGATATGCAGAAGAAAAGGTTGAGAGGAAACATGATAATAAATAATAATAAACTTTATTTGTACCCCACCACCATCTCCCCAAAGGGGACTCGGAGCGGCTTACATGGGGCCAAGCCCGAACAAGAATTACAATATAACAATACAAATTGCAATAAAATAAACAACATAACATTAAAATATAAAACATCAAAGCTTATAAAACAATATACACAAAACATAGGAACTAAGCATAATGACAGAAAGACAAAGGGCGGGCCGCATGTACATAAAATGATTTAAAAACTCCGGGTGAGATAAGGGGGCAGAACTAATTGTAAGGGAGAACTCATAGAGAGATAGGAAAATAAGCCAACCTTCGTATAGGAAGGGGGGGAGGGGGATACTCCTGGAACAAGAACATTGGAGGAGCACTAGCATAAAATTATGTGGCTACTCTTCAGCAGAGCCAGGTCTTAAGACTCTTTTTAAATGTTTCCAAGGTAGGGGCTTTCCTAATCTCTCCGGACAGTGAATTCCAGAGTCAGGGGGCCACAGAGGAGAAGGCCCTCTCCCTTGTACCCACAAGGCAAGTCTAAGAGACAGGCAAGGGCGAAAGGAGGACCTCGCCTGAAGATCGAAGGATACAGGCTGGTTCATGGAGAGAGATACGGTCACGAAGCCATGTATAAATATGTGAAAGGATGTCATAAGAAAGAGGGAGCCAGCTTGTTTTCTGTTGCCCTGGAAACTAGGACTCGAAGCAATGGGTTCAAATTACAGGAAAGGAGATTCCACCTGAACATTAGGAAGAACTTTCTGACCATAAGAACTGTTCAGCAGTGGAACTCTCTGCCTCAGAGTATGGTGGAAGCTCCTTCCTTGGAAGCTTTTAAAAAGAGGCCCAGGGGGACTTTGATTGTTCTTTTGCTGCATGGCAGGGGGTTGGACTAGATGGCCAGTGTGGTCTGTTCCAACTTTAGTATTCAATGATTCCATGATTCTTTAACACTTTTATTACATTATATTACTGCTGTAATTCCACATCAAATGTCTGTGTTTCTTTAGCTTTCCTTCAGTATCCCCCCTATCCTGTTCCTGCTTTTAAAAAACCTTCCAGCTAGATAAAGGAGAATGAGGAAAAATTTGGGCTGAGTAGTAACCAAAGGACATAGCAAAAAGAAGCTAATTTGTTAGATGCTGTGTCAACAGATATTCCTGTATATTTTTCTGTAACTAAATAGGTAGGTAGATGAATAGGCAGGTAGTGGATAGATATAATATCAATGTTAAATGTATCCACTCATAATACATACTTAAGGGAAAGTGGTTTCCAGGCTTTCCACAAGCTTATAGAACTACATTTCACATCATTGTAATAGTGTGTTGGGGTTTGGTTTGGGCTTGTCTAATGGGCATATTTCCTTCTGTTGACAATCAAGACATTGTTAAGAGGAATAAGAGAAATAATGGATAGACTATATGAGTTTATGAATAAATTATATCAAGATAAGACTTACAATTACTTGGGAAGCTATTAGTCTAGGTATAAGATGTCGCCCTGCTCTGGGTGAATTTGCTCTCCCCTCTTAAAAGACTAGTCATATAGACTGAATGTTTCTGGATGAAGCCATCTTAGTAGATGCTCAGACATTGGACAGGGCTGTATTTTAAATTATTTTTGGGGTGCCAGCTACAGCCATTGCGGTGTTCCTATGATTTCACTTAATTTGTTTTGCTTAATTTTCCTTTTATTTATAGTTGTTTTTTTCAGGAGGGGAAAATATTTTTAGTGTCTGAAAAGGGTATACTTTTCTACCTTGTAAACAGTAAGACCTTGACTTGGCTTTCTTAGAGTCCTTCTTATGGTTATTTTATTTACCTGATGGTTTAGAAGCCAAATCAAAAGCCCATCATTTTCACAGTTGGCCTTGGTGGCTCAGACTGTCAACCAGGAATCACTCTCATCAAACAGTCAAGAAGCAGAGAAAAAGGGAACTGATATGATGGGCTAACATAAAATTCCCCCTTTCTTCTGGCAGTGAATTGTCTTGTATGTCTGTCGTCCACCAGTTCACTCAGATCATCCCTTCCCCCAAAAATTGAGAACTTAAGGGTGGCATGGCAGCTCAAGAATTGGCAAAATGAAAGTTTTCCCATCGCAGAACCACAGTCATAAAGAAAAGTGCAAAAGTCTTTTTGAGATAACTTGAAACAAATTTACTCTTAAATTTAGAAAATTGTCCCCAAGTGACAAACATCCAACTTACAAACAAGCAGATTATACTTAAAACAGAGCTGGACTGATGTCTGGATCCCACAAAATGACATTTTTGTTTTCTCTCATTTATAAACTGTAGAAAGGACCACAGAACAGGAGACCTTTTTAAAATATTAGGTCTACATAGGGCATCAGTCACAATCTGTCTCTGCTAAAATCATTTCTGAAAATTGCTATTCCAAAGCACTTATCATGCTGCATTTGGGACACTTTGAGACTGGTAACAGAATGCTACTGAACATCCATGAATGTTTTACAAGTATTCAGTTATATAAGAAAATGACTGTTGTGATTGCACACTAGGGTGAGTGATGAAAAAGATGCACGCGGCTATCTTCAGGCTTTGGCTTCTAAGATGACAGAAGAACTTGAGTCCTTGAGAAGCTCCAGTCTGGGATCAAGAACACTGGTGAGCATGAAAGTCTTATTGATTAGTTAATCAGAGAATAGTTATACTTCTGCTGCATGTCAATGTTCCTTTGGCAGTCCAATTATCGCTTTATCACTGAACTATTTTAAACTCTTTGATATAATGGAAAGTGAAAACGTAGAAGGAAATCCTTTCCATAAGACAAAATAGGCTATTCTAGCATTCAGTTTTCTACAGTAGCCAACTAGGGATCTATCAGCAGTTTTGAAGAAGATCATGAATGTGACAGTCCTCTTCTGTTACTGATCCACAGAATCTGGAATTCTTTGGTAAACCACTTCATTATCTGCCGCTGTGTTGACCTCCAGCCATGTACCTGTCCAATCATTTTTTTTAAAAAAAATAAGGTGTGATTACATCTTATGCTATGAGAACCTCAAGTAAATTATCATTATGTATAGGATTCTTTTGATCTCCAGCATTGCTAGCTAGTTAATTCCCTTGTCTGACTTCCAAGTTTAAGCATTATGAGTATGGGGGAGAGAGAGAAATCTGTTATTTTTCAAAGTTTTGGTCTTCCAAATTCTCCCTTCCTCTTTTATTTATTTCAGGGATAAATCATTACCTAGTCATCATTATTCATTAATGTTAATCATGATCCATATTTATGGACTCAGATTGGAACAGGTCTCTTTAAACTTGGTCCTAGTTAGGATTTTTTTCTCTTTAGGCATCAAATTGATGTTATAACATTTTAGTAGTTTTTGATTTTTATATTGTTGTTGTTGATGATGATGATGATACATCTATTTCTTACCTGCCTCTCCTTATGGATTCAGGCAGGAAACAACAAATGCTTTCTCCCTTCTCAGCATATTGACTGTTGTAGTTGAATTGGCACAAGAGAAAGGAATTGCTTCTTGTGCAATCAGAGTTCATTTCATAGAATCATAGAGTTGGAAGAGACCGCATGTGCCATCTAGTCCAACTCCCTACCAAGCAGGAAAAACACAAAGCATCCATGACAATGGCCATCCAGCCTCTTTAAAAGCCTCCAGAGAAGGAGCTTCCACTACACTCTGAGGCAGAGAGTTCCACTGCTTGAACAGCTTTTACAGTCAGGAAGGTTTTCCTAATGTTCAGGTGGAATCTCCTTTCCTGTAATTTGAACCGATTGCTCAGAGTCCTAGTCCCCAGGGCAGCAGAAAACCTCGCTGCTCCCTCTTCCTTATGACATTCTAGCACATATTTATACATGGCTATTGTTTCCTTCCTAATAAAATCTTTGAACAGGTCCAATAGTCTAATCTCATTTAAAACACTGGAATAACATAAAGGAATATTTGCATCTTGACCTTCAGTAGACATGAAATGATGCTGCAGATTCTTTATTAAACTTCTATTTACAGCATAACACTACTCAGTTTCAATTCTTAGTCTGCAGTCATTGCCACATTTACCTGAAAAGCTCTACTGAAAAATCTCAATGAGGCCTACTTTTGTGTGGGAATGTATAGTTTTACATGGGCTATTACAAAACGTTTCTCAGTTGTTGAAATAGAATGCCCTTAAATGCTGCGTGTTTCCGGAATATAATCTTTCTAGATCTCTTCAATTCCAGCCTTACTAACAATGATGAATTCAAGTGAAGCATTTGAATCAATTTAATATTTAAAGATGTTATAAATTCTTTAGTGGTATAAACAATTGCTTACTGTAATAGGACCCTCTTTGGAAAGTAAGACGAAGTCAGAAGCTGGATATGTCTGCAAGACTAGAATTGCAGTCTGCTCTTGATGCTGAAATACGTGCCAAGCAGCTAGTCCAGGACGAATTAAGGAAAGTGAAAGATGCCAACCTGTCTTTTGAAAGGTAACATTTGAGGTTATTTGGGGTGGGGGATTTGAATATTGCATGCATGTCTTTGAAAGAAAACTTTTTAATGCATGCTTTGAAATGTTGGCTAATGTAATTTCTTGATGGTGTAAGAAATCACATAACAACAAAGTTTTAACTAAGACTAGTGATCTGAACCCAAAGAGTTACCCAACTAGTTTCTCAGTTCCAAAGGAGCTTCAAGTAGTACTTTCTCATGCTACATGGCAGGCTTCTTTTAGAACTGAGAAATTGTTTAAACATAGTTTGTGGTATGCTTTTGGGAGCTTCCATTGGAGGGTTAATGAATCAAGATGATCAAGGACACAGGGGAACAGTGATTTCCTTCCCAATCTCTAGATAAAATTACTGGAGCCAAAGCATTTGTGGAAAGGATGGAGAAGGTTCGGCTGGCCTCTTTTGGTGGAGCCCTGCTCTTCCCTTGGTAGCTTGTATTTTGAAACCCTGTTTCCAATGTGTGTAAAATTAGCCACACTTTTGGGAATTGTTGTCTTTTTAAGCCTTGTTATGAATTTATGTGTAATGTATGATTTCATTAGTCTTTTTGAATGTCTGGTTTGATATATGAGTTTTCATTGCCGTGCTGGATAATGAAGGAGCCAAGTACTAGAGCCAACTGCTGTCTACTTCCATTGAAGTCCTGAGACAGTTATTTATATTCCTCTTCTCCTGGTCTAATATATTTTGAACTAGTGATATGAAACATGTCTGCCAAAATATTAGATCCACTGATGTAGACTAAACATACGCATGTTTATCTGGAATATCAATATGCAAAGGGATCTTGTATCACCTTAGAGACTAAAAGAACAAAGTTAGTAGCATGAGCTTTCATAGCTACTTCTTCAGATGCTGAGGATGTAGATTTACAGTGTATCTACTGGAGAATTAAAACAGTTTGATACTACTTTAACAAAGGTATGAAATTGTGGCAGCTGTAGTTTTTAAAGGAATGTAGCGTGTAGCATAAATTATTTATTTTTATTTATTTCCGTCACTTTTACCCCGCCCTTCTCACCCCCAAGGGGGGACTCAGGGCGGCTTACAGAGAAAGGCACAATTCGATGCCTTGTCACATATACATACATATATAAAAGCAATTAAACAATTACAAATTAAAAATTAAATCATCAATACAAAACAATACCATAAACACAGTAGTAGGCTAATCCTGAGCTCAGCATTCGGAGTTCCGTAAATCCATTCCGTCTCGTCAAGTTCCAGCTCGTCATCAAGTCTTTCTTTAGCTGCCAGAATGTCCAAATGCCTGGTCCCATATCCAGGTTTTCAACTTTTTTCTAAATGAAAGAAGGGACATTGCCGATCTAATCTCCCTGGGGAGTGAGTTCCAGAGGTGGGGGGCCACCACCGAGAAGGCCCTGCTCCTCGTCCCCGCCAATCTCACTTGTGATAGAGGCGGGGTCGAGAGCAGGGCCTCCCCAGAGGATCTTAGGTTCCGAGGTGGAAGTTGACACCCAAAGCAGCAAAAGAACAGCTGTGTGTTATAGAAACAATCCTCGTTTATGTGAAGCAGTGGTTAATTCTTTTGAATTATGTGGAATGACAATTTCCTTAGAACAGTGGTGTTCAATCTTTGGTTCTCTGGGTGTTTTGGGTGTCAACTTCCAGAATTCCTGAGCTTTGGACAAGCTGGCCAGGGCTTCTGGGAGATGGAGTCCCAAACACCTGGAGAACACCTGATTCCCCTTTCGGGAGATAAAGCAGGGTATAAATATTATACTCACAGTAATCATAATAACTAAAGGTTGGACACCACTGCCCTAGAATATGTTGTAAAATGTACTGCAGTTGTAGTTGTAGGGGCTCTCTGATTGACACTTGGAACGGTGAGAATGAAACAATAAAGAACTACAAAAGCTAAAATGACTGAGAGGAATTAGAAAAGGAAAAACAAGACTAAGAAAGTATTTTGTTCTCTTATGTTCCAAATGTTTCAAGTTTCCATTTTGTTATTTAGCAAATTAAAGGAATCTGAAGTAAAGAATCAAGAACTCTTGGAAGAAGTTGAAACTTTAAAGAAGAAACTGGAAGAAAAATACAGGACTGATGCAGGTAATTTAGGCAACTTAACATGTATTAATATCAGAGTTCTTGTTATCGATTTTAGTTAATTAGATTTTCTGTTTTCCAGGTCTAAAACTTTCAGACTTCCAAGATTCCATTTTTGAGTACTTCAATACTTCGCCCCTTGCACATGATCTGACTTTTAGAGTAAGTGTTACCATGTGATTACAAATATTTTCCAAAACTGCATAAGACAATGCATAGTGAATTAGTGTGTAACAAATAGATGTGGTGAATGCAAGAGCTCTGCGTAGCAAAAAAACACAGTCTTGCTGAGCATACTGTAAACTGATTTGCCATTTCTAACCTATAAGAACAGGTATCATTCATAAAGAAGAGGACTTCTGTGTAACAACAATCTATATTGATGGTTCTCCAGATTTTGTTAGACTGAGATTTTTATCAACCCAATCCAGCATATGAACATGATCCAGCAACATGTGGAGGACCATGGGTTTCTCATCTAGGAAGGAGGTTTCTTGGGGCAGTGTCCTGTCTTATTTTCTTGTCCTGTAAAATGTCATGTTATCAGGTAGTTTTTTAAAAAAATGTGGAGGTCCCAACAGGAAGCAAATGAAGAGGGACAAAAAAGGACAAATTATTTCATTTGCAATGAGATGAAGCCTGTTCCTTCCCCATTTTCAAAGTCTTTGTATTTATTTATTCACTGTCTTTCCTTTAGGTTTTTTTTAAGAAAACATAATTCTTCCACATTTCTCTTATATCATCCTGGCCAAGCAATCTAGCATTTAATGGTAGACCGAAAGACTGTTCGGAAGCTTCAAGTAGTGCAATGGGCGGCAGCCAGGCTGCTCACAAGAGTGGCATATAGAGAACATATAACTCCCCGGCTACTTCAGTTTCACTGGCTGCCAATTTGCTACCAAGCACAATTCAAAGTGCTGGCTTTACCCTATAAAGCCCCAATTGGTTCTGACCCAGCTTACCTGTCTGAACGCATCTCCCCCTATGAATCATCCTAGGCGCTAAGATCTTTTTGGTAGTGGTGGTTGTGGGGAGCTCTACTATCGTTCCCACCTTCTTCACAGGTGTGGCTGATGGGGGCGAGGGACAAGGCCTTCTCAGTGGTGACTTCTCGGCTGTGGGAACTCTCTTCCCAGTGAAATTAGATCATCCCCCCTCCCTCCTATCCTTTAGAAAACAAGTTAAAACCTGGCTATGGAACCAAGCGTTTGGAGAGTAGCTCAGAGCTATATACAGTTACAAAGTGAATGACAATGTGATTGGAATGGCTTGATTTTTGGTCTATGTGTAATCTTTTAACTGCTTATTTATGTTTTTTTAGGTTAGTGTTTTATTATTTCCATGATTTAACGCACAATGTTTATTGTATTTTGTTTGTCGTATGTTAATGTGGCATTGAATTATTGCCAATTTGGAAGCCGCTCCGAGTCCCCTTCGGGGTTGAGATAGAGCAGGGTAAAAATACAGTAAATAAATAAGGGCAGTTAACTTATCTACTCCGGTTGGAATTAACAGTAGAGCTCAGGCTGTTGAACCCTATTGAATGTTGAACCCTATCAAACAGTGGGTTTCTGGATATTGAATTAAGTAATTGGAAAGGAGAAAAAAAATTAAGCCTCTCACTCTAGCTATCCCCAGATCTATGAAAAAACATAGATCTGTAAATGTGGCTATCAAAATGGAAATCATAAGAGAAATGAAGGCAAGTGAAATTTCTTAAAACCTTCTTGGATATATTTGGAAACAAGGTTCCAAATGGTCTCTAGAAAGTTCAGAATGCAAGGTTATCTCTATTTTTAGTTTGAATGAAAACTTTGCTGAAACATGTTAAACTTCTCTTAATTTTGGTTGTGTGAGAGCATATCCTTATGTTTCCATGTTATTTCTGCCTCTGCTATCATATTTTCTGCTAAAGAAGTGTTACTCAGTAACAAATGCACTTCATTAACACGTATACCTGTGCTACCCTTCATTCAGCAAGTGCTTTAATTAATTCAGTGCCTTTAAAAATCAATCCAAAGTATAGTTGGCTCAGGTTTCACAAGAGGTTATTGGGTGCAGGGTCCTTTCAAAATTAGAAAAAGCGTGAATGTAAATTTAAAAATTCTAATATTTTAAAAAAACAACAAGAGAAACACTTATCTAGGCCATTCCAATTGTTTTAGTCTTCAACTCCCAGAAATCTTAGCCAGCTTATCCAATGGCCAGGTATTCTGAGAACTGAAATCCAGGACTCTTGGAGGGCCACCGGTTGTGCAGGCCTACTCTAGACATGTCTTAGTTTTTAGTGGTTTTATCAATAATCATATTACAAAATAAGAGCAGACCAGCCAGATCAATCAGTGCAATTCTTTCATCAGCCTGTAGCAGAATATTTATTTATCATATCAGAGGCGAACCAACAGTGCAGTTGTAATGTATTTAAAAAACACAAAGTTTAAAAACTTGGCATTATATTTGACCAGTAGCTGGCCACTTGGAGTGCCTCTGGTGTTGCCATAAGGAGATCATTGTGCATAAATAAATCAGCCTGTAGCAAAAGGTAACCATAAAATTGCATTAGAGGACCTAGAAATGCCTAGAGATATTTTTTTCCAGTTGGCAGCAGCAGAGGTGGCAAAAAATACAGTGATCCTAAACAATCAAATCTGTGAATGTATTGCCGAAGGCTTTCTTGCCGGAATCACTGGGTTGTTGTAGGTTGTGAAGTCTCAACCTCTGAGGATGCATGCCATAGATGCAGGTGAAACATCAGGAGAGAATGCTTCTGGAACATGGCCATACAGCCTGCTGGACTTGCTTTCTGTCGTAGAATATTGTTAGATACCCTATTTGTATATCTTAATATTTCAGAACTCCAAGAAAGCATTTTACTTTCATTAACAATCTCTATAAAGATCTGTTTACTAAGATGCTAAAGAGACACTCTTAATGCTCTTAACTCAATGCTACTCATTGTCTGTGGATGGCTTGAGCCCACAAGCCTTTGGCTGGTAGTCCAGAGTTTCCAGGAAAACAGGAAACTATTTTAGGCCAAATATAATTGCATCTCTGAGACATCAAAACACACACATATTTCTCTTACTTTATGAAGATACCAAAGTAAGCATGTGTTGTGTGAGAGAGACAGAATTCTAATTCATAAACTGGTAATTACTTTAGATAAACATTCTTCCCCAATGTGTTTTTTCTTAGGGGAAATCAGTATTAGTACATTTCCCAATCCCCTGAAGTTTTTATTTTTGCAAAAATGTCATCTTTTGAAATTTGACCTTTTACAGTTGCAAAGCTTTAGTATCATCATTATAGTCTAATTTTACAGACTTTGGCAGGCTCCTTAAAGGACTTTTAATAATTTTGAACACAAATTCTTCTCTAACTACTTAAATGTATTGTAAGATAGATGTAAATATAGTTTAAAACATTAAAACATTTTATGGAGATCTCAGAACATGGCAGGTAAGTCCAGTTCTATTTTAATTAAGTCTACATTTAATTTAAAGTATTTTAAGCTCCACAGGTTTCTTCAATAATATCAGAAAGGAGATTGTTTTGCTGTTTTTAACAGCAGCCATCTCCATGGGTACAATTTAAGTATTGTTTTGGAGGGATGCTTTAATAGCCCAGATGTTAACTAGTCCACTTCAACAGTGACAGGTGCAGAAGAGCTCTCTTCCTATTTTTGCTTCAAGTGGCCCTGATCTTGCTATAGTATTGTAGTACTGTACTTGTAAGATAATATGCTTACAGTTTTCCCTTCCACTCTGCAGACAAATTCTGTTAGTGAGCAAGAAGCACCGGGTTCCAAGGTAGAGGTATCACCATCAACATCTATGACTACAGAACAGCAGCAAGCAGAAGTAAGTGGCCATTTTTCCTTCTCAGGTTTATATTAGATTTTTTAGAGATTCTTACAAATGTATGTTCCAATCACCAGTCTACAAGAAAATATTTTCACTCTTCATAGCATGCTTCTTCTCAGAACCATCTCAGTGTTAAATGTGCAAGCTTTGTGAACTCCTATTTAGTTTACTTTCCTTTCAGTGGCTCCCAGTGTATCATTGAGCTCTGCTTTCTTGTTTACCTTCTGCTACTTGCTAGAGTACAGGCTTTCCTATGAGTCCTTCTGAGCTGCAAATCTACTTCTAATAAATCAGGAGCAATACTGCCTTTTGCTAACCTTTAAGAAGATATTCAACAGTTGTTGCCAGATCAAATGTACTTGGGATCCTAGAACGCTTAAATCTTGTTCAATTGTAGTTTTTTGCAATTCAGGAACCAATTCGGCTTCAGAGGATGCCTGCTGCTCCCTCCCCCACCATTCAGTCCATTTCTCTAGCTGTACCAAAGGTAGGGTGTCTTGTTAACTTGTTTTGCTTAGATCTGTGGGATAGGATGGATGTAAAAAGAATTGTGATTCATACATGATCCATATGTGTATTTAGTCATTTCTCTGTGTGTGTTTCATTGCATCTTCAGTTTGTCACAGAATTATAGAATCATAGAGTAGGAAGAGACCACATGGGCCATCTAGTCCAACCCACTGCCATGCGGAAAAAGCACAAAAGTATCCCTGACAGATGACTAATCAGCCTCTGTTTAAAAATTTCCAAGGAAGGAGCATCTACCACATCACACTCTGAGGCAGAGAGTTTCAATATTGAGCAGCTCGTACAGTCAGGAAGTTCTTCCTAATATTCAGGTGGAATCTCCTTTCCTGTAATTTGAACCCATTACAAAAAAGGAGATTGGTTTTATAGGATTATTTGTAATTAAGGCTGTACCGTGTCTAACACACTATGCCAAAAACAGCTCACTGGTGTTTCGAGAGTGACCAGCCGGAGTTTAGTACAACTGGATTCTGTTGTCTGTCTGGGATTATTAAAACCAGCTTGTTCATTACACATGGCAAACCAGTGTGTGGCTTGTGTGTGGTCCTATATTTTGCAGACATGCGTTAAATTTAATAATTCTAAATGTGATTCTTTACTTCACCCTATATACGTTCTGTGCTCCCAGCAGTAGAAGTAATTTATAATAGTGGCTTATTGAATCCTCTTTTCAAGTCTTACAAGGTTTCAAGAGAGATTGCTGACTCTTACAAGGCTTATATTGTATACCCATATTAAAAACGACAACTTTGCTCCATTTCAAGTGTGCAACATGGTGGGGACCACAAAGTGTTTCCAGCATTGACCCACTGATAAGTCAAATTAGTTTTTTTGGGGTCAATATTTTGTCAACAATGTTTTGACTTATACTTGACTTATACTCAAGTATATTACAATACTAGCCTTTTCTGTGAAGCAACAGATTTTGGATTGGACTGGATGGCCCACTTGGTCTCTTCCAACTCTATGATTCTATAACTGACTATCTTATGTTGCACAAAAGTATGGTGGAGCTTAGATTGTGGATAAGGCACAAAGCCATCTCTTTCATTTTCTCACCTAAAATTCATCCTTGCAGAGTTCTACTGCACTTTGCCAGTGCCTTTTAGTGGTGTTTTCATAGCCAGTGGTTTTCCTGTCTTGGATGCACATGTTGAGAATCTATCTAGTGTCTGTATTAGGAGATTTAGCTAGATTGTTTGCTTTGCTTCCTGTATGCAGCAGAGGTTCAGTCTCAAAAATATTTTGGTTTATATAAAATATTCCTGTTTTAGTTCTGAGAAGCATTTTTATCGCAAGGAAGAAACTACCTTTATTATGTGAACTCTGCTTGGAAATGGCTTCTGTCCCATTGCTAGTAAGAAAGACCATGCTAAGGTCACTTTGAGCCTATTAAATTAAGATCAAATGAAATTAGAACTTGTGCAGCTATTGCTCTCGCTTTATTCAAAGGTGTTAGTTTTCTCATAAAATTTAATTCTGATTGATTCTAAATTTTTATTTCAGCCAAAAGCTCATCAACTCAATATCAAATCCTTTTCAAGCCCTACGCAATGCAGCCATTGCACATCCCTCATGGTGGGACTGATTAGACAGGGATATGCCTGTGATGGTAAGTTGGTTTAAATCTCCCAAATGCCCTCTGGTATAACAGTATATTTTTGCATCTTTATAGTGGCAAAGTAGTTCATTGAAATAGAGTACACATTTGAAGTCTTTATGTGTCTAAATTCAGTATGCACAAGCATATATGTAGATCAAGGAGGGTACTGCTCATGCGCCACAAGCATACACGGACCATCTGAGTAACACTGAGAATTGCAACTTTGGAAGAATGCCCCCCAATCCATTTTTAGAATCCATTTTTACTTTCTACAGTTGAAGGGTAGAAAATAGAATGTGAATACTGTTCAGACCCCTGCATTGCATTATATGGCAGTGTAGATTCATATAATTCAGTTCAATGCAATTTAACTTCATTATTTGGCAGTGTAGATGGGGCCTAAGTTCAAACCATTAGACCATTAGGTATGTTTTTTTCTCCATACCCTGTATTACGCATATATTCATTGCTCTTTTCTTTACGTGCTCCAACTTGTCTATATCTTTAAAATGAAGCATCCAGAATTGAATGCAGTACTCTGTGTGAAGTCCGACAAGTGCAGAGTACAATGGATCTATTACTTCTCCAGACTTTGAAATTACACTTTTATTAATGCACTCACTTGACCAAATCTGTCTCCACCTCTGTTGTCTTCTCCACTGGGAGAAATTTGTCGAACTTCAGCTATTTCAAGCCTTTCTACTATGTCACATGCCATTTAAAATTACATTTCCCTTTTCAGTCTCATTTGGGTACATCCCAATCAAGGATGTCTTCTTCAACACACACTGAGAATAGCACATCAGATATTTTCTGAGAAGGTGCTTTCTTGTAAGGCAAAAGAAGGAGACAACCATTCCCATACTTGAAGTGACCCAGTTCCTTATTTCCCATCAATACATGTTTATCTCAGACTCTTTTCACTGTTTTTAATTGTTTAAAGATTTTAATTGTTTTTATAATGTTGTCTGATTTTATGTTTATTGATGTTTGATATTGCTTGTTTTTCGATGCTTATTTTA